GAATGTCGAGCGGAACGACGGCCGCCGCTTTGCTACGGCCGCCGCTTCGCTACGCACGACCGCAGCGAAGCACGGCCACCGTGTAGCGAAGACCATGCCCGGCCTACCCTCCGTAGCAGTACAAAAACAGTTTTTCCAGCGAAGATTCTGTTGGTTAAATATTTTTGTCCAGACTCAACCGACCTATTCCGCTGTCTATCCTTTGATCGCTTTTGACCGTATCTATCCTTTAGCGAATCTATCCTTTGATGCATCTATCCTTTGATAGTTTTTGGGCGTATCTATCCTTTAGTGCATCTATCCTTTAATTTATCTATCCTTTGTAGGGGAGCCCAAAAACCGTCAATTTCCTTTCTATGTCTTTTACATTATCTATAAAATTAATAGACATTATGCCAAAATTGTTTTATTCAAATTTAATTCAAAAGGTTTTAGCGAATTAAAAATTTCAAAATGTCTAAAAGAGGAATAATTAAAATTTTGGTAAGATGTTGAATTTATTTTTAAAAATTCGAAATCAATAAAAAATGTTTTCATACAAAAGTTGGACGTGTGACTCAATAGTCATCTGAATAAATAAGTATTAGAAAAATGACTCATTTAGTTCATGTAAATTTCGAGTTGGTCCAGATTCCCGAAAACCGAGAATAGGAGATTGAACGTCAATAAAATAAGAATGCTAAGTTTGTGTGCCTTGATCAACCTTTTATCAAGAAATAGTGTCTTCATCTCTCTTAATAATTTTGTGGCTCTAAAGAGGGCCGTTTATTAAATTAATCATTTTGTCTACCCAAGAATCAACTTATTAGAGTTCACGTAGTTTTCGACTTGGGTCCAGATTCATAAAAACCGAGAATAGGGGGTTTCGTTAGGCAGGATCCTTAATATATAGCCTGTTGTGTTTGCACTGGCAGTAAGAATAGAAAGGAAAAATAAATAACCAAGTACACTGCGGTGCATATGTTTATGCACACTAGTTTTTTGTTCATAATTTTATGCAATCTTATTCAAAAAATACGTTCTTTATAGCAATCGAAAGCTCTATTTGCATCTCAGTTGACATGTTTCTGCATTTTCCATGAAAATGAAAATTGGCCGAGATAATCCGGATCTACCGGATATACCAAATCTCATATCCTCGGAAAAATTTTTCGGAAAAAATTTAACAAACCCATTTGATAAAGCATATTTTTGTGAGTATTTACCACAAAACCGCTTAGAAATATCTTTTTCCGGAACGGAGATATGATTTTTTGAAAATCGAAAAAAAGCGATTTTTTGACGAAAAATGGCAAAAATATGGTATTTTTTCGATTTTCAAAAATTCATAACTCGGTCGAATTTCGACCGATTTGGATGATTTTTTTGTATTATATGTAGAATCTAGAGGAGAATCACATATATTTTTTACAGACCTCAAAAAAATTTCTTCGAAAAGTTGAAAATGTAGTACCTGTTAGACCGGTCGAAAAGTTTTCGAAAATATCAGAATTTCGAAAAATGCAGAAAGATGTCAACTGAGATACAGATAGAGCTTTCGATTGCCATATAGAACATATTTTTTGAATAAGTGTGCATAAACTTATGAACAAAAAACTAGTGTGCATAAACATATGCACCGCAGTGTATCGGGTTGGATGGAAACACAGTCAGTTGGGCTTCTGTTTGGGCCCTTTCCATGATGGTTCTATTCCATCTCACATCCAGTGAATTTTTCGCAGCATGAACATCGTGATCACATGTATCAGCGTGGATCACATCGTCTTATCTCTATATCAAGTCTCGTATTTCATTGCTTATTTCCACACTTCTTTTCTGAGAAAAATTTTTTTGTTCCTTTTTCGGCCTTTCCTTTCCATTTTTTAAGGGTTTTCGAAATTTAATTATTTTTATTTAGATAATTTTTTAAAATTAAATCAATTATTTTAAGACTAAAAATTAAAATAAAATTATTTTAAGTAACATTTTTATAAGAAATTTCCCCCAATTTTCCCCTCATTTCTCCCAATTAATTTTCAATAAATTCCATTCTAGTTCAGATAATTTTTCCTTTTTTTTATTAAATTAATTATTTTTCCACTTGAAAAATAAGACGAGAGCAAATTAATTTTTTTTATTAAAATTGGGTCTAGGTCCTTTTTAAATTTTTTCAAAATTATTTTTAAATATTTCCGCTCCTCCAATAAATTTTTTCTCTTGACACAATCATTAACACTTTATTAAATAGAGAGAAGTATATCAAAACAATTTTTCTGTGTGTGGTAATGATTGTTTTCCGAAAATTGGAAGTTCCTTCAGCAATAACGCTAATTGTTGGGCAATAGGCTGTAAGGATGTGCGCAAGGGAAATTGGCGTTTTAAATTTTTTGGCGTTCTGATTTTTGGCGTTTTAGTTTATTTTTCTCTACTTGGCGTTTTTTCCTATTTCTTTTGGTACAAGAGACTAGAGATCGATATTTTCAAAAATCCTGGATCTGGATTTAGGTTAGTAGCCTGGACAGGATTTTTGATCTGTATCCAGGAAAAATTCAGACTGGGTCCAGATCCAGACCGATCTCTACAAGAGACCTCCAGAGTAAACAAAGATACACCACAATTAAGACAAGTACAGTTGGGGGTGGGGAAGAGGCAGAAGAATAAACTACTATATCACCAATTTAAATACACCCCATTGCTTATGGTTCTTTTAGCGAGTTTCGATAATTTCGATATTTTATTCCTTGCCGTTTCTACTTTAAAAAATTTTAGTTTTGGCGTTTAACCTTCTTTGCGCACACCGCCTTGACTCCTTAACTGTCCTTAGATGTGCGCCATTTTTGGCGTTTTCAATTTTTTGATTCCAAATTATTTTCAAAATTTAATTGCGCACATATCTGCACATAAAAGAGTCGTCAGGTTGTGTTGTTGTCACAACAACTCGCCGTTCTCTTTAACTTTTTCTCTCAATACATAGACATTCGTTCTTTTTCACACATTTTTCTTCTTTTTTCGCGCTTTACTTCTCTCCTCTCCATTTAGTTGTTGACTGGTTGTTGTGACTGGTTGTTTTGTTTTGTTGCCACTATAACTCGTCTTCTCTGAAATCAATTTTTTGGTGAAAAAAATCCAAAAAAGAATTTCTTTTTTGGAGAATGCCTGCTCCAAAATGTGAGGTTCACGTTCGGCATTGTTGCTGTTGTGGATTGACGCCTGGGGCTTTTTTGATTGGACTTTATACTTTGGTTGGGATTTATTAACCTTTTTTGAAATTAATTTTTTTTTCGAAATTTTTAAAAAAATTTTCATTTCTTAATTGCCAAAAAATCATGTAATTAGGTAATCAAAGTTGTGGTTAGGTCATTTTTCTGGGTTATGGACTAGAAATCGGTATTTTCAAAAATCCTGGATCTGAATTTAAGTTAGTAACCTGGACAGGATTCTTGATCTGGATCCAGGAAAAATCCAGACTGGATCCAGATCCAGACCGATCTCTATTATGGACCTATGACCAATGGGTCTGGGATCACCCGTTAGCTCATATGATTTTTGGATGGTCAGTCAAATTTTAAAAATCAGAAAAATCATAAATTTCCAAACTTATCAAGCTAACGAATGGTCCAAAGTCAAGTGGCCACTAAACTCTAACCCAAAAAATCCTACAATACCTACATAATCTAAAAAAGGCGAACAGCCCTAACATAACAAAAAACCCTCTCCCAAATTCATCAATAATTTTAAAGATTCTCTACGCCTTATTAGCTATATTAGCTGCTTGGGCATTACAAGAGACAGCAACTAATGGAGACGTTCCAATTTACCAAAATTGTCAATTAGAAGCTCAAGACAAAATCAATCAACATATTAAAGTCCCTTTTGGGAATGGGTCTTTTGTTGAGGTTTTGGACAGTTCAAATTACCATTGTTCTTTGGGAATGTATACCGAGGAAATGAAATATGCTGCTGGAGGTGAGAGGAATTTTTTGGAATTTTTAAAATAATGACAGTCGAACCTCGTTTTTAAATACAGCCAGAAATACGCTTAAATTTATGATCCATTCGTTTAAATTTAGTTAGCCAGTAGTTGTCTTTTTGGTTAAGTCGGATATGTTTGGATTTTCACTGTCAGAAGGTCGTGGGTTGATGTTGATCCATTGATGTGGTTGATCCCATTGATGGAAAACATTTTTATTTTATCAAAAAATTGTTTTTAAATAAGATACCCTCTATTTAACATACAGCTCATTATTAATACACTATTTTTTCATCAACAAGGAGTATCTTATATTGAGATATATCATCAGGGTGTGCGCCAAAAACCGTGTGTGGTAAAACGCCAAAACTAAAAATTCGATTTTTTATTTCCGAAAAATCCATTAGAAAAAACAAATAAAAAAAGGTGAAAAGCCATTGTTGCCATAAATTAACAGAAAACAAAAAAAAAACTGGTTTGGCTTTTTCATTGTTTAAGGAAAAGGAAAACATTAAGAGCCAAGTTTCTGAATGTGTGACTAATTTATAACAAAAAAAGCCTTTTAAATTGTTAATTTTAAATATGGAATTTTTTATGACATAACTAATAAACTCTAAAATTAACTTTTTGAAAAAATATTGGTTGAAAAATAGTTAAAAATAGGTTTGTTAGCGATCAGTTTTAAATAGGAAGCAAAAAATAATATTAATGATTTAAGCATCAAAAGGTCTAATGTTTTTAGTTACACCACAAGGTACCGCTTTCTTCAGAATTATCGAATCCGGGAGCTTTTGTATGGTTTGATGCGCCTCTACGAGCTGAATCGAACCATACCAAGGCGTCCCGGATTTGATAATTCTGAACGAAGTTATAGCTCTGCGGTATTTTGGTCTTACGGTAACTTGGCCTGCTTCCTTTTTTCAAAATGGGGGCAGATTAAAACATAATTGTCAATTCCATCTTCAGACCATTTTTTCTAAACGTTTATTTTTTGTTTAATTTTTCAGGACGCACCTTAGCCCTACTAATAGCCTTATGTGTCTATATTCCAATGATCGTTGCAAGTTTACTAGTATTAATAGGAATTTGTCTCCATTTTTCGTGGTTATTACTTCCTTGGTTAATAATAATGCCTTTGGATATAATACGTGGATTAGTCTCTACAATACTAATTTTAATTTTAAATCATGGACAGTTGGCTAGAATTGCTACAGGAATTTTCTTTTTGGGACTTCAATTTCTTCATGTTTTTCTTTTTTTAAAAATTTAACTTGATTTTCACATAACCACGCAAACATAACTGAAGAACCGAGTAGTATTTTTCGGCTTGGATATAAATTAGGTTCTACTATACGGTTCGTCAGTCCAATACCAGAAGTACCTAAAAGCCCTATTCGTTTCGACAGTACCGAATCGTGCTGAACACTGGTTCGGTTCTAGATATCCGAAAATTCACTGAATCAGAGCTGTGCGCCAAAAATTTATTGAGGAACGCCAAACGATAAACGTCAATTTTTCATATTTTTAAAACACGCCAAACGCAAAACGCCAAAATCGGCCAAAATCGGACGCCAAACGCAATGACGCTCAGCCCTACACAAAAAGTATGCTCAGATTCTTGAAAAAAGTTTGGAAAATGTTGTTTTGTGTTTGGCGTGCCGTCTGAAAACTTTTGCGCACAGCCCTAATTCGTTCCCTATGTAATTGCGTGGCTTTGCGTGATTTAAATATCCAGCTATTGCCATCTAAAAATATTTTTTTAAACTAGATCTCCCTTTGGATACTCGTTTTGGCCAAATTCTTAAGAATGCGGCAACACCATGTTGTTGTTCACCACCAATATGATTCTAGGCATCCCTACCCTCCTGGACATCAGGTAGATCTGTGATATATTTCCTAGGCTATCCTATAGTAGCCTGCCCACTCTAATTTTAGCCCCTCTCTAATAAAAACACTTGTAGTAGTCTACTTTCTAATAAGTCCACCCTCTCTCTAATAGTGGCCCATCTTTTAATAAAAGCCTTTCTATTAAAAACCTACCCACTCTGCTAAAAGTGGATCCTAGTCTTATAAAATAAAGGGGTAAATGTCCGGTTGGTGTCCTACATGTCCGCAAAGAGAATGCGCATTTTTCTTTCCTTTTCTTGCATTTTTTCTGCAAGGAGTGGCGCCCATTTTTCCTTGTGTATGGTAGCCTTTTGGCATGTCGAAGGAAGGAGAGAAAATAATAAAAATTAATTACTAATAGAGTACTTAATTTAATACTAATAAAATTATTATAACTAATAATGTTAGATTGTTAGATTACATAGAAAATAATAAAAATTAATTACTTATAGAGTACAAATGAATATTTTATTTTATAAATGATCAGAGATGAAAAATTTGGGACAACATTCTCAAATAGATTTCTTAAATATCTGGGGGAATCTTAATCCATTCGAAATCTTAATCTGTTCCAGAATGCTTCATTCCCCTGTGTATTTGCACCGTTGACTGGATTCATAAAGAATTGTTGATGATTTACTGTTTGGTGTTGATATCCTGACTGATCTAAACCTAAAGTGAATTAATTCTGTTTGTAAATCAATCTAACATTATTAGTTATAATAATTTTATTAGTATTAAATTAAGTACTCTATTAGTAATTAATTTTTATTATTTTCTCTCCTTCCTTCGACATGCCAAAAGGCTACCATACACAAGGAAAAATGGGCGCCACTCCTTGCAGAAAAAATGCAAGAAAAGGAAAGAAAAATGCGCATTCTCTTTGCGGACATGTAGGACACCAACCGGACATTTACCAAATAAAGGTCCATTCTTTACGGTAGACTTATTAAACTGAAGACTTACGATAATTTTCTGCTAAAAGTAATGACGTTTCCCAAGGTTTATCTAAACAGTAGAGTACATAAATAAACTGAAAAAAGAAGAAAAAAATTTTCTGAGAGATTTCTCTGCCTAATTTTGATCGATGGACTTTATGAGCAGTTTTGACAAGCAATATAAACGCCGAAATAAAATTCCATGCAAGTCCCCCCTTTTCATCGAGCAAAAATTCCTTTACTTTTTAATAAACACTTGTGTCTTTCTTCTCTTCTCGCGCATTGCCCTTCAATATTTAACCGCATTTTAGTATTTTATATTATTTTATAAAATAGCCTTTAGCGTTATTATTTTTTACGCAAATTAAAAATAAATTATTTTGATATTTTTTGGCGTTCTGAAATTAATTTTGAAAATCTTCTTTAAATCATCTTTAATGAATCCTGGTTTTGATGTGCGCCAAAAATGAAAGCCAAAATTAAGCCAAAATGAAAATTTTCGTTTTGGCGTTATAAAATTTTAAGGCGCACACTTATACTCTCAGAATAATAATTTAACAAGATTGCTGCTTTTTGGTTAAGTCGGAAGTGTTTGTGTTTTCACTGTGGGGGGTCATGGGTTCGAATCCCGGTGATGGAAAACATTTTTTATTTTATCGAAAAATTGTTTTTTAATATAAAACTCAATTCTTATTGATTCTAAAAATATTTTTACAATTTTTAAACCCAATTTATTGGAAAATTAAGGGAAATGCGCAACTTTTTTCTTCATTCCTTCTCTCTCCCTTAATAATTGCTGATTAAATCCTTTCTCTTTTTTACCGCAATCAGTATATTGCCGATCAACCCTTTCTATCCTTTTTTCTCTTCTCTTCTTCCCCTCTTCAATTCCCGCAAAACCAATGACGCGCATTCTTAAAAAGGCCGGTCAGCACCAGCAGGCACAGAAAGAGAAAAAGAAGATTGATCCTCTCCTTGCTCCACGCCCTCCCTTATTTTTGTTAATTTTTCTTTCAAAAACGTATTACACATTTTAGTAATTCTAGTGATTTCTATTTATCAATTAATTGCTTTTATGTGTCGAGAATTGCGGCGCTGCAGATTTTTTGGGAGAGAAAAGGGGTTATTCCCCCTCTTTTTCTTTAGACTCTCAAAAATTCCGTTGCGTCGCAACTCTACACTTTTCTGGCCAATTTTTTAATTTCTTTAAAGATTACTAATTTATATAAATCTATTAAAACCAAGAATTTTCTTTCAATATTTTCTTTAAATTTCCTGTTCGACCAAATGAAATAAATTTAGATGAGTATCTAAATGGAAGGGTAGTTATGGGGCAATTTATGAGTCAGACTCTGCCTGATATGGGGAAAATGGTCTTCAATTAGTCTCGAAAATGGGTCCCAATTAGGGACCGAGGGGAGGAGGTGGGCGGGATTCTCCTACTGAACTAAGACTATTGTTTTTCCAATTCGACCCCGAACTGGAAAAATCTTGGAATATCAAGCATTTCTCCTTAAATCTTTTTTCTATATAAATTTCAAAATTTTAGCCCTATGGCGGAGCTTACTACGGCCCAGAAGGTGGCAGCTACACATACTCCCCAAACTCTGGAAGACGTATCCCTGTCCAAACTGAGGCGGAAGACTATGCTGCTAGACAAGGAAGAAGCCCGCATAGACGATACTACGATGATGGAGGTTCTAGATACTAAAGAGGGAAAAGGAAGAAAAAATAAAGAATGAAAATAAAAAAATAATTTTGTCTCTTTAAAAATACAAAAAATTTATGCCAAAAATCTACAAAAATTTTAACGCATTTTATAACAATTCTACAATATTTTTTATAGTCAACTTAAATTTATCTCAAAGGAAAATGTTCAACTCTGCCAGAAAATTATTTTTGTATAAACACAATAAAGTTTTTCAACTATTTCCGGTTGGTTGTCTGTTTGGTGTAGTTGGAACGCTCCGAGTTTTCCGCTGTGAAGGGGTCAAGGTTCGAACCCCACTGAGGGAAAATATTTTTATTTTGGTTTAAAACTAAAATATTAACAAAATTTCGTTTTATCCCACTATTTTTAGATATCTCGGATTTTTATTTCCATGTTTCTAAATATTTAAAAAATGTTTTTACTCAATATTTTTATGTTTATTTTATTAACATTTACCATGGCAATATTGCAGCCATTCAAAACATTTTTGTCATTTTCAGCTGCCTTTAACGCCCCCCAATTTCCCTTTCAATACATACATTTTTTAGCACCGTTCCCTGATTGTCTGCAGAACCCAAAAGAAACCGTCGATTTTGGCGCTGCCGCCCTTTTATGTTTCTTCTACTCAATCCACAACAACGACAACGCTCATTACTCGGATTCCCCCTCTCTGGCTTTTTTTTGCTTTAACGCTAATAAGTGTGCCAACTCTCTGTGCCCTTAACACGCTGTATATGCCAATAACTGGATTGCCATAAGTAGAAAATACCCATATGGCCGAGAGGGACAATTTGTCCTATTTTCGTCAGATGGGCATTTTGATGTCCAATACTTCTATTGGACATTTTGGCCATTTTTCTTTTGCTTGACCATTTTGAGACCTTTTTCCTGTAAGACTTTTATATCTTCCTGTTTGGACGTTTTGTCATCTTTTCCTCAATTGGACATTTTGAACATTTTCTTGCAACTGGACATTCTTCACCTAGCTAGCTGTCTTGCTTTTCCCCTATAGTGACATTTCGAGCAGTTACCTTAACTGGACATTTTGAGCATTTTCTTCCAACTGGGCATTCTACACCTAGCTAGATGTCTTGCTTTTCCTCTATAGTTTTTTATGCCGATATGAGTCAAAGCAAAGTACCGCCGCGTCATTTTTCGTTATTTTCCTTCTACTCTTTTTCTCTCTATTTTTGCTGCCAACCACCACTCTCAGCACAGTTTTATGCCATTACTTCACCACCTCTCGGCATTTTTATATATTTTTTACTACAAATGCCTAGGAGACTTTTAACGCTTTTCCGCAACACAAACGTTCGCTTAATATGTGGATCGATCTTGTGCTTATTTTTTATTAATTTTTTTAGTCCATTTTTGGGAAAACACAATTTTTGTTGTATTTTTACGTCAGAATTATTTATATATTAATCTTTTATTATCCCTCTTCCCTTTTTGCCCATCATTACAAGTCTAAAGGCAAAATTGTTTTTTTATTATTTGGCCGCCCAATGGCGGCCAAATAGCCGCTTAGGTGGCTAGTTTAAACTACCTAGACTTAAATAGTTTTTAAACGGTAATGCGTGGTGGCCCTAATGCGGGGGATCATCAGCATTTATCTTCTGCCTTGCTTAAAACTTTGCTCAATACAAGGCCTAATTCCAGGTAGTTTTCTTGATTTTTAGTTAAGTGAACTACAATAGAACTAGTTGTAAGATACATCCTTGGGGCTGGAAATGTTATCCCAATAATGGTGGTTTATTAAATAGACGGTATTGATTAGAGATAGAAAATTTTTGAAAAGCCTGGGCCTGTTCTTGGACTCCGAATTTGATTTATTGACCTGGGTCGGATCCTCGGCTTGTAGTCCAGGAAAAACCCAGGAAGGTAAAAAAATGCATGGGCCTGGACTCTAGGTACAGGAAAAATTCAGGCCTTGGCCCAGACCCAGCTCGATCTCTAGTGTTGATTAGGTAACCCTTTCTCTCTTAAATTCAACAGATTCTAATAGACAATAGAACGGTTACTTTATTTCCAAAAATAAGCCTTACCCCCTTAATTAGAAGCCCACTTTGGAGGTAGTTGAAAAATAGAGCCCCATGAACTTATCTTAGGCAATACAGTAATTGTTGCCCAAGACTAATGCCTTAGTAATTTTATCCCAATCAGCCCAGACTCTAATGGCTAACAATTTTGGTCTCTAATAGCATACCAAACCTGCTATTTGACAAAATTTACTATTTTTCCAATAAAAAATTTACCAAATTATTTTTCCAATTTGCAGCAAAAAATATTTTTGTGTGCCAAAGTCAATTAGGATAGCAAAGAATTAGGGGGCTAAAAAACTTTGGGTGATGGGTATATTAAAAAGCTTCCTTGTCTTCACTCTTTTTTCCTTTTTTTTGCAATTCAATCCCTCCTTTTTTTACCCTAAACTAACACAATAGAAAAAAACTTTTTTTTGGTATCTATTTTGGTTAAAACTCCCTTGGGGATATGAGGATAAAAATGAGAAAATGACTCTAGCCAATGCAATTTGGGAAAAAAGGGAAAAGAAATGTTTGGCGGGGGTGATAGCTTTAACGCTTTTTTATTGTTTAAATAACTCAAAATAAATTTTGTGGTTGTAAATTAATATATACAGTAATTGGTGTGCGCAAAATTGATTTAAAGACGTTAAAAACACCAAAACTTTTTTTGGTGTAGTTGGATAGTTTTTGGTTTTCCAGTGGCCGGGGGGTCTGGGTTCGAACCCTTCTGCGGGAAAACATTTTTATTTTGGGTTAAGACTCAAATATTGTAATGGGTGTGCGCAAAATTGATTTTAGGAGGTTAAAAACGCCAAAACTTTTTTTGGTGTAGTGGGATAGTTTTTGTTTTTCCTGTGGCCGGGGGGTCTGGGTTCGAACCCTTCTGCGGGAAAACATTTTTATTTTGGGTTTAAAACTTAAATATCGTCTCAACATTAATTTTTTTAAAATTTTTTCAGTCTATTCCGCGCTGCATTCCAATATTTGCCAATTCGAGATTCACCAAACGAGAATCCACATGTTGAGGTTTTGTGATAAATTATTTAATTCTCGACATGTGCGCCAAAAATATTTTTTAATAAAACGCCAAAAAAGTTTGCGTTTTGAAAAAAATATTTTGGCGCACATCGAAGACTTGAAGTGATAAAAATAATCTTTTAAAATCATTTTATCAGTTGGCATTACAACCTGGAGAATTAGTTTTGGTGCACGGCCCGATGGACGAAGACTGTTTCTATTGGGGAGAAACATTGGATAATCGTGCCGGTCTAGTCCCTTCAAATTTTGTGCAGAGGGTATCAGACGAGGAAATGTCCAATCTTCTTCAACAGACTTCCCTCCAACAACCCTCAACCTCAAAAACATTTGTCCCAATAGAAGAAAATTTTTGTTGTTCGTCAATCCCCTCAACATCAACAATAACAACAACAACAAATGCTGCTACACAAAATAATAAAATTTTTAATTTAAAACAACAATCTCCACTTGTTATTAATAGAGTAGACTCTCCCTCTTTTGTGTTGTCTGTTCCCCAACATTTAGCGCAAATTAGACACGATTTTACAGAATTAGAGAAACAACAAAAACATTTGTTGCAACCTGATTCGGTTAGACATTAATAAAACTTAAAATTAAAACTTGGAATTGTAAAATATGAAATTGTAAAAACAAAACCTGAATATTAAAACTTGAATTTGTGAAAAACAAAGTAGGAGAAAAAATAAACTTGAAATTAAACTTGGTATTGTAAAACTTGGAATTATTTAAACACAACTTGAATTGTAAAACTTGGATTGTAAAAATGTTAGAATATTAAAAAATAAACTTGGAATTGTAAAACTTGACTAATAAAACTTGAATTTGTAAAAACAAAACTTAAAGCTTAAAAATAAACTTGGAATCTAAAACTTGAAATTGTGAAACTTGAATACCTATAGCAAGCGTTTTGGCGCACACCATCATTTTCCTCTTTACCCCTCTAACCTTTATTTTTCTTGAACTTTTCGGCTTATTTTTTAATTTTTAGGTTTGCCCTTATCCCCCTACCGACGTTAGCAAAATTACGGTGCAAGAACTAAAACATCCAGACAATCCAAGAATTCCCTATCCACGTGATTTACAAGTAGAAAGACGTCTTTCCCGTTCTTTGCTCATTTCTTGGTTGCCACCAGAAAGTGGGGGTGGAATTCCTCTACATCAACAAACAATTAGCCAATATCAGGCATTTTTGTTTATTTTGAAAAATTATTTTTCCTTAAAAAAGGTCTGTTCAAATAACCAAATATGTGCAGTTGTGCCCGGTTCTTTCAAGTGCCGTGCCTTGCTAGAAGACTTGGATTTAGATAAATTTGTTAATGTTTCTGTACGCTCAGTTACTTCGGATGGGTTAACTAGCCCTGATGCTGCCTGTACGTTGGCTGTAGGTTCTGGTATGTTCTTAAAACATTTGTGTTAAAAAACATTTGTATTTTGTTTTTAGAGTCCCCCGTTGCTCCACAACATGTTCGGTAGGTTTTTAAAAACATTTTACAAACATGTGTAAAGTTAGAATATTCCAACAATGTTTTTGTGTTTTCTAATGTTTTGATTGTTGTGTGTTTTTGTGTTTTCAATGTTTTTGTGTTTTCGCAACAATGTTTTGTGTTTTTGAAACAATGTTTTTGTGTTTTTAATGTTTTGTTTGTTGTGTCTTTTTTACAATTTCTGATTTTGTTCAGAGAAAAATACAAAATTATTCTGATTGTAAAAAATTGTAAAACATGTTTTACAAACTTGTTTTGTTCTGGTTTTTCTTGCCAATAATATCAATAATATTTTGGCTGTGTTTGTATTTTTGTTTTGGTGTTCGTTTAAAAATTGTAAAACACAAAGAGATTAACAAAACTAAATGTTTGAATTATAAAACTTGTTTTACAACTTGTTATTCTGATGATTGTAAAACCTGTTTTATTCTGATCTCTCCCTCCCATAATGTTTTGGTTTTTCTGATTTTTCTGGTTTTTTCTCTCGTTTTGTAATTTTATAATTTAATTTTCTGATTTGTTTTGTTTGTTTAAAAATTGTAAAACACAAACACCGAATTGTAAAACTTGTTTCCCAACTTGTGTTTTAATCTTTCTTTTCTAGTGTAAACAATTTAACCCCAACATCAACACAACTAAGTTGGTATCCTTCAAACAGCAATACCGAACATATAATTCTCTTAAATGCAATAAAAGTTGGCGTTTGTCCGCCTGCTGTCTTTCAAGTCTGTTTTGATTAAATTAGTGTTTTTTAACGTTTTACAGGTTCAAATAAACGGCCTTACACCCTCAACAATTTATCGTCTCTCTGTTAGAACAAAACATCCCCGCGCTGTTTTAGAAAAGAGGCCTGTAGAGAGATGTGTAGACTTTAAAACGTTGCCTAAAAGTAAAAAAAATTTTCTGTAAAAATTTGAAATTTTAAAAATTTTTAGTTGGCCTTCCAGACCCTCCTTTAGAGGTTAGAGCAGAAAATGGGCCCCAGCCTGGAACTTTGCTTGTCTCTTGGAAACCAAATTCCTCACAGGTATATGGGAGGACAAGAAAAGAGTATCAAAAAAAAATTTTCTAAATTTAAAGCCAAGGCCTCCCTCACGTGCAGCAGTTCAAAGCTATTTAGTCTATGCAGACGGTCGATGTATTGCTGAAATCCCCGGGTCAACAGCAGATCATGTTCTGTTGAGGCTTTCTGATTTTGCTGATGACCCTCCAATGTTTATTACTGTCAGAACTAAAACTAAAGAAGGAAATGTTTCTGCTGACTCTAAAGTTGTTCGAGTACCTCGTGGTGGAAATGGAACGACAAATGAGAGGGAAGGAGTCGTCATTATGCAAAATAATTCTTCATTGCCTTACTACTCTTCAGGTAAAATAATATGTAGGAGAATTTGCTTTTCTATAAGTATTAGACTTCGCTATACTCCTTGGAGCTGTTAAAGTACCCAGCTGTCCAAGACTGAAAATTTCCCAAGATTCAATGCCAGACTTGACCCCAAGATAACAGGGCTGAGCGTTATGGAGGTTGGCGTCTTTTTGGCCTGTTTTTGGCGTTTGGCGTTCCACTCGAAAATTTTGGCGCACAGCCCTGAAAGACAACTAGGACTTGACCCCGGAACTATAAGTTACTTCAAGTGGATACCTTATAATGAGTTCTGACCGTTTGAGAAGAAAAGGGAACGTATATTCTACATAATTGCTCATGGCGTTTATTGGATTAAAAATTTTTTTTAAAGATCGACTCATTTCCTCTGAAAAAAATTATTCTTCCCCAAATAAAATTCCAAAAGGACTTTTAATTATACCAACAAAACAACAATACCAACAAAATACATCGGCAACCTCCTTACAAAACAACATTAACAGATGGGAGGAAAAACCAGCTCCACTTACAAATGTTACTGATCCTTTACAACAACAACAAAGCTCTTATCAACAACAACAATATTTTACTTTTCATCCAAAAACTTTGGATAAGGTAGAACTTTTGGAATTGCACGCAACAGGGTTCCGGAAACCATAAGTGTTTATTTGTGCACTATCCTATGTCCCTTACGCACCACTCTTATCCCCTAAGTTCCTTACCAACTACCCTATGTTCTTTACGCACCACCCCATGTTCCTTACGCACAAGGAACTACCTATGCATAAGAAAGACTCCGTTCCCTACACACCACCGCGAGTTCCCTACGCACTACCCTGTGTTACTTATGCACTACTTTATGTTCGTATTTTAAAAATTTCATTTGCAGACTTATTATAATCCTCGAAATGGGACATCAACAAATGACCAAAACAACGGAAATACCCAGCAACCCAACAGCACTCTATACTTTTTGGAGCAGAATTATCTACAAAAACATCAACAACGTCAAAGACTACATTCTGCAGCACCTTCAACTTCCCGTTCATTTTTGCAAAGTAGAGCTTCAAATAATAACATTCTCCCTTCCTCAATTCCTTCACAAATAGCCAAGAAAATGTTAAAAACAAATTTTTTACAACAACATCATCAACCCCCAGAAAGTACTAGAAGTGAACCAGACTTAAGGCCCCTGAGAAGAGATGAAATAAATAGCCGTTGGTTTGTAGCTATTCAGGATCATCAGCCTAGAATGGGGGGAATGAATGAAGAATTGCTTTTTAGAAGACACCAACTTATTAAGGTTTATGGGGATGTGGACATGAACGGCTTCTTTTGGGCTGAAGCTAGAGGTCGTTATGGATTTGTACCTTTCAACAAATTAGTTGAAATTGCTAAAGACGACCTTTTTCTGGCCGCTGAACAACATGCCGGGACTTCTATGCCAGAGGGTGGTCAACAACAACCTTGGGCTGGAGGGATTTCGTCCAGTCAGCGTAGAATGAAATGGGGTAAGGGTCATATTTTTTACAATCGAACCTCACTATGTATAAGATACCTCTTTGAGGGTCTAAAAATTGTATCTAATAATGAAGTGTACCTTAAATCGTGGCGCGAACTTTGCGGACCCGAATTTTGCGGACCCGAACTTTGCGGACCCGAAATTTGCGGAACGAAAGTTGCGGACCCGAAGGTTGCGGACACGAAGTTTGCGGACCTGATCTTTGCGGAACCAAGATTTTAAGACCGACACTTGAGTAAAAAGGAAAAATTAAAAAATTTTTTTTCGAGGATTCCGGCAGAGCTTACCATAATCCGTACCTGATTCAAGATTTTTTCTTGATTTTTCAAAGTTTTTATCAATTTTTTATCTTAAAATTATTTCATAATCAAGATAATCGAGAAAATTCCTTAAAAATCATTTATATGGCCATTTCATAAGGTCATGATGCCTGAGTTTATCCTAATTAACGCCGCAGGCTAAAATTTTTGAAATTTCTAAGGTTCAGTAGACTCTATTGTCGGTCCGCAAATTTTTGGTCCGCAAATCTCAGATCCGCAAAATTCGGGTCCGCATAGTTCGGGTCCGCAAAATTCGAGTCCGCAAAGTTCGGATCCGCAAATTTCGGGTCCGCAAATTAAAATCCGCAAATTTCGGCGCGCCCCTTAAATAGAGGGATAACGATTAGGCAGCCATCACTCCCAGTTACCTAAACAATAGCGGAGGTACACTATAGTGAGGTCTACTGTATTTCCTAGCTAAAATACCGTTCCTACAGGTTCAATCAAGTCAAGGAGTTACGAGCACACAGAAAGCCAAGGACGTTATGGGAACTACCATGGAGCCGTTCAAGCAGATTATGAACCAGGACGGGGCTCTCAGCCTTTGTATTACCCCGATCCTTACGTTGAGAGAACAGCAAGACGAGGAAGACAACTTCCCGAGTATCGTGGAGCAACCGTTGGGGTTGGAGCTCCAATTGAACAGAGAAATCTGCCCAACCTTGGAGATGTCAAAACAACTAGTGGGGGTGTTGTTGTGGGTAGAGAAAAGGAAAATGCCGCTCTCCGTTATCGTTCTCCTCAAGTAAATGGTGGAGGAACTAGACAAGGAAGGGAGAAAAAGAGGATAATGATTCCTGAATCGTCTACTAAAGAGGAAGAAGAACAAATGGCAGAAATTTCAAAATATCAGCAACAATACAGTAACAATTCCAAATACTATCAACAAAAAACTTCGCTAGACGAAGAAGAACAACAACAGGATGATGGGTTTTCTTATGATGAACAACAACAAGGAGGGGGAGAATATCAACAATTGAGAGGAATTCAAAGCCAGTTAATGATAGCTAAATATGACTATGATTCGAGGCATCTAAGTCCTAATGGTAAAAATTTTTATTAAAAAAATTGAATAGGTCTGGAGTTCCTGACGGTTCGAATTTTTTGTCTATGCTTTCCAGAAATCTCTTGGAACTGGAAAATAGTCGCTCCCCTACCAGGGCTTAGTTAGCGTCATGGCGATTGGCGTCCATTTTTGGCGTTTGGCGCTTCTCGCGAAAATTTTGGCGCACAGCCCTGTCCCCTACATTCCTTACAGTAGGGTTGGACGAGACCGTTTAGAAACCTCGATTATTGTTCCCTGTGGCTGGTCAAAAAGAGAAGAGAGAAGGAAAAAGTCAGCCACAGGGAAAAATAAACCTCGAATTAAACGGTCTCGTCCAACCCTACTTTACAGTCTTACTTTAATTTTGCCAATTTTCTTTTTTTTTTAGTTGATGCAGAACAAGTTGAATTAAGCTTTCGACAGGGAGATTTGATTACTATTTTTGGGGTAAATTTAAAAAATTATTTTTCTTAAATTTTCCCTTCATTTTAAAGCCAATGGATGAAGACGGGTTTTACTTGGGCGAATTAAACGGAATTAGAGGCTTAGTCCCTTCCAATTTCCTACAACCAGCCCCACAAACAACAGAACCAGTACTTCATTCTAGACCTAAAGGCGTTGCTTTCTGTTCTGATTTGAATAATTCTGATTATCAAATGATGGCTAAAACTTCGATTGGAAATAAAAAAGAACAGGGAGGAGGGGGTAGAGGACAACAACAACAACAACAGCCACTTCAAGGAGGGACAGGAGGAACGTCTGGGACTGGAGGGGGAGGTAGAGAAACTTACGGAAATCTCCCAAGAATAGCTTCCTCCTCAAAAACACTAAATAAAATCCAAATATCTAATCAACAACAACAACCCTCTGCCCCTATCCCGGCCAAATCCTTAATTAAAAAAAGCTCTGATTTGAGCAACAGAACAATTCAACAACAACCAAATGTTAGAAAAGGCTCTCATGCTGGTGCTAAAGGACCTCATAGCGTTGTGAAGGTGGGTGTATTAGGAATGTTAGCATGTCACCCGGTCTGAGGAAAAGTTCTTTTTAGATTCGACCCGGAACCCGATTCGAATTTTTTTCCTCGACACGTGACATCCCTTGGGCTTATTTCTCTCCGCCACAGATTCTGCATTCTGTGCACAGAACACAGATTTTGTGGAAATTCTATTTCTCTGAAATTCTGCAGGCACAGAATCTGTGGTGCCCGCAGGTTCATATTCTGTGAAAAATGCCGCAGATTCTGTGGACGAAAATTTCTGTGGAAAATCGAAATACCGTATTTATTCTAATAAAATGGCCTCTCCAATAGAATGGTCTCTTTTTGGGGGTATCGAAGAATAGAATGGCGGTCATTATATTAGAATAAATACAGTATCTGTGGCTTTTTCCACAGAGCCACAGAATTTCTCTCTCTGTTGAAAAACTATATTTTTAATTGATACAAATTTTAGAAGAAAGGTGTTTGAAAGACGAACACATTCCTTCACTGGAAGCAACTATGTAAGAAGCTAAATAAAAAGTAGAAACACCAAAATCATATCTTTGAACCTTAAATAAACGAATATTTTATACAAAAATTTTTAAAAATAATTTCTAAAATTTTATGGTTTTACTAAACTTTAACTGATATTAATGTCTACCATTTTTCAATTTTATTTTTCGTTGCTTGCATTTTTCACTTTTTTTTGTTTAAATTTAAAAAGACATGATAAAAATAAAATTTTGTTTAATTTTATTTCCTCTGTTAAAAATAGGGTATCAACCCGACCCCCGAACACCGACGATTTTTTGGCAAAAACCCAGACCCGAACCCCGAAGGCTCCGAAGCAATCCCGACTCCAAAGGGACTAGTTAGTTGCACTTTACGGGTTGTAGCTTTTTACTGAGTTATCAGACTAGGTCTGTCCAGTTGGGGAAAAAGATAGATTTTATCAATAGCTTTCGAATGATATAAGATTTGTGAGAATAATTTAAAAATAAATTTGATTGACGACGTTTCCGTCTTACCAGAACAGAATACTATAAAAGCATCTCATTTCCGGAAACTTCTAACCGGATACTTCTAACAACTTTTCTCGTTCTCTCCATTTCGCGTGCTGTTTTCTCAACTATTTTTCCAAGCTGGTTCTCTTCGATTTTATTGAGCATCTGAGGGATCGGTGTTATAATTGGTGGTATTCTGTTGAAACTGGTAAGGATTTTTTAATTTTCCTCTCAATTTCTTTTAATTTTTACAGCTTCTAGTTCCGATCCGGACTGTTCAACAATGCTGTCTCCTTCGTTTGAATGTGTCTCGGTCAATTCCCAACCAACAGAAAGGGCAAATTCGACCTACATTCAGCCTCAACCAACAGCGCTCGCAGAATACGTTATTGGCGGCTTTCAACCCAACGCTGTGAGGGAGTATGAAGTGTCTGAGTATGTGGTGGGACAAGCTGGGAATACTGCAAATAACGACAACACAAGAACGGCAACAACAGCGGTCACAGAAAGCACAACAGCAGTCGCAACAACAACAGCGGTAGCTGTAGCTATTCCAGTGCCTTCAACCAGCAAGCCTTCAACAAGGTTGGTAGAGATCCTTTTCGTTTTAGGGGATTTTCCTTAGTGTCCCCAAAAGTCCGCAAGTTCCAAATAAAAATCCGCAAAAGTTGTCCGCAAAATAAAATTCTCTTTTCAGTAGTGCAACAACTTCGAGCAGTACCAGACATGGACATCGATCAACTTCGGCACATCCTCATCGCCATTCTCACCGCCATTCTTCTCATCGCCGTTCAAGATCAACAGAAGCTCATAATCACTCCATATTCTCAACAGCAGAACTAGCCGTAGAAAGTGAAGAAGAACATGAGGAATTGGCCAGACAGGTGGTTATGGTTTTTCCGGAAGTGCCTCCATTTTTGCGTTGTTACTCCATGGAAAAACACCCAAAATTGAGCCGTTCTGCAATTCGGGATGCTGTATATGGTGGAAAGGTAAAGAAGACATGGAGAACTCGAAATTTCGAGTTTCGTAGATTTTGCGAAATTTCGAGTTTCGAAATTTTTGACGAAATTTCGAATTAATTTCGTTTTTCTACAGATTTCACTTCCTCCATCCTTCACACACATTCTGCCGTTTCTCTATGGTCTGTTCAAACTAAAGGTGGTTCAATACAAAATTACTCCAGTGGAACAACCGCTAGTAGGAATTGATCCTTACCCTTCTAAAGTGCACTGTGGTGTGCTGGACTATGAAGCTCCTGAAGATCAATGTTATTTGCCTCCTTGGGTAAGGAGACTTTGAAATTTTAAATCAAAACTTTGTTCTGAAAGAATTTTTGATGTCTTTTCGGTCAAATCTCATTTTAGTCAAATGTCCTATTTTTATTCAAAATTTTGTTTTTTTTACATTTAAGATGATGCGACAATTGAATTTGGCTGACGGTTATCCTGTCTGGATTCAATATGTAAGACCCGAGCTGAAAACTGCAACTTTTGCAAGATTCAAGCCGATTCTGTCTAAGCGAGTGCTCTCCATTATTAACGACGAAAATATCAAAGAGGTTCGACATGTGCTTGAAGTGCAGCTAAGTAAATATCAGTGCTTGTCTGTTGGGGATGAAATTGCTATTGAGGTATGGGGGTGTTTTTTGAATTTTGAAAATTGGGTGAGGGTTAGACCTTTTGAAAAATGGCCTTATAGGAATTGGGGTTTTGAGGATTGACGTTTTGAAGATTAGGCGTTTTGAAGGTTGGGCGTTTTGAAATGTGGGCCTTTTAATACGGGTGTTTTGGAAATTGGTTGATTTGAAAATATGACATTTTAAAAAATAGGCATTCTGAAATTTGACATTTTGATAGTTGGGCATTTTGAAAAGTTGACATTTTAACATTTGGGCGTTTTGAAACCCCTTTAATTTTCAAAAAAAAATTTTTTTAGTACAACAAGGACGAGATTCGCTTCCTAGTTACAGCACTAGAACCAACTACCTCAGCTAAAATTACAAATTGTGATTTGAAGGTGGATTTTGATGACTACAAGCTACTTACAGAAACGGCTATTTTTGTAAGAAAGAAAAAAAATTTTTTAATTTTCAAAATTTATTTTTAGGATGAACACAAAATGGAGCCTGAAATTGATGAGGACTATAAGCCTGGACAACTAACATTTATGAGAAGGGAGGGATATAAGGCACATAAATTGGTCAAGGAAATGGAGAAGCTCAACAACACTGACAGCCCTAAACCAAAAGACAATGATGTCAAGAAGAGTGGCTTCAGTGGGAAAGGCTTCAAACTTGGAAAGAAGCCAGAATAAATAATAATTTGCTCTCATTGTTGTAAATGTGTTTTTGTAAATGTGTTTTTGTTGTAATTATTGTTGTATATTAAACGAAGTTATTGTGTTTTCAAACATGTTTTGAGATTCATTAACAATTACATTTTGAGTTTACAATTTGTTAAAGTTTTAAGTCTTTACAAAGCTTTACAATTCAAGTTTTACAATTTTTGGAAGTATTTTACAATTGTAAAAATAGTCACAGAACTTTCCGGAAGTGTTTTCCGGGAGTGTAGTTTCCCTACTTTTTTTTAGTTTCCCTTAGCAATTTACTATTTGTAAGTTTCGAGTTGAGTTTTACAATTTTCCTTAGTTTTTATTTTCCGGAATGATTTTACAATTGTAATAATAGTTTTCCGGAATTGTTTTTAAACCTTCCGGAATTGTTTTCCTGAAATCAAAAAATATAAACACTCGTCGATTGTCCTATGCAATTTTAAGTTTGAACTTGAATTATCGAGTTTTTAATTCTATAAAAATAAATAAACTTACTCGAAAATCTGAGTTTTCAAGTCTGTGAAAATAAACTTAAAATATTAAGTTTGCACTTGAAAACCTGAGTAATACCCTAACTATTTTTATAAACTTAAAAACTTAAGTTTTCCAAGTATAAATTTTATACCTTGAAAATTAAATTAATAACACAGCAAGAATTTCAACTACTAAAAAATACTCTAAAAATTCAAAAGAAATTCACGTGATAGTTCTTTAATTAAGATGGTTTGATTATAATTTAATGTAATAAATTTTAAGTAAACAACTTTTATTGCAGAAATTAAAAGAATTTGTATTTTTTTAATTTAAGCATGCTGAAAAATTCATTGAAAGACCCCTCCAAAATCTTAAGAGTATATTTACAGGCTGCCTATTTATTTTCTTCTAATTGTAAAGAAAAAATAAATTAACTAAAATTATTTAACACAAAATTGTGACTAAAAATTTTCTCTAATTTTGTGCGCGAACCATAACAACAACTAACAACAACAACAACAACTTTCCACTTATAACAAAGAAATTTTAACGCAATTAAATATATTTTCCAACCTTTCACAATTTACACACATTTTTCTTTAAAAATATTCAATTCGCACTCAAGTGCGCCTCTCCTTTTATTTGAACTAAATTTATATGTTTTTGCCCAATCAATCTTAAAACCATGTTGCAGTGTATTTTAAGGAACATTTCCGGAAAATATGTGTATATAAACAAATACATATATTTCCGGAATTGTATTTAAATGTTTCCGGAAACAAGAAATATATATTTGTTTGTAAATAAAAATTCCGGAAAACATTTCCGGAAAGGAAATATGTATTCTTAGGAATAATTATGTTTAAATTAATTTTCCGGAAACATAATAGAAATATATATTTCCGGAAAACATACATAAATAATAGTTTTCCGGAAATGTTTCTGGAAGCTATCAAAAACAATGTTTTAATACAAACAAACAAACAACAACCAAACAAATGTTTTCCAGAATTAAACAAACAAACAAATAATGTTTTCCGGAATAATTGTTTTTAAATAAATGTTCGACAACAAAATAAATATTTTTCCATAAAAACATATATAAAACATAATTCACGAACATGTTTCCGGAATCAAACAAACAATGTTTTAGAACACAATGTTTTAGCAAAATTAAAACATTTAAATAAATTTTCCGGAAACAAAATGTAAATATATTTTCCGGAAATATATGTTTTCCAAACAATGTTTTGTTTTTCCCACCCAATGTTTTAACAGAATAATCATGTTCGTCTAAAATTTCCCCAAATAATTTTTATATTTAAACAAATGTTTTTATATACATTTTGTTTTGCATTAGTAATAAATAGATTTTCTGCTCTGATATTTAATATCAAAGCAGACAAATCCATTTTTATTAGTTATCTATTTAATTCTTTTTTTGCCCATTTTTACACTTTTATTTTACTTTTTATTTTTCTGATATAAAAATATTTTTAAAAATGTGTGTACTTTTTCCATTTAAAAATTAGCCGATTATTCCACGTGAACACTCTACAGACAAAACGGGGTTATTTGAATTAAAGCGTTCCTCCCTTGATTTTTGGGTAATCTCTTCTCCCAAAAAATTCTTTTTCTTTAACTTTCCATGATGCATTTTATTTTTAATGTTTTTCCTTATTTTTTTAATGTTTAGCGACCATAAAAAAATTTTTTTTGACTTTCTTTTGATTCACACTCTTCTAATCTAAATTTTCTTTTTAAAATTATTGCCAACCCATTATGTGTATTTTATCAAAAAAAATATTTAGAAGAGTGCATTAGCGTTGTTCTTTCTTTAATTTTAAATTTTCCTTATTTTTTTGTTTTTTTTATTTAATTTAACAATATGTTAGGGAGGTAATTTATAATTAATTTATTGTGGAATCTTGCTAATACGTCACCCTTGGGACCAAACTGAGCCGACGTACCAATTCAAGTGACGTTACGAGACGTTGTATTAGCGGGATTCCATATATGTATGACTAATTCAGGTATACTGCCTGACCTCTATATTAGAGACATGACAGTGAGTGTCTTACGAGAATCGAGATCTCGATGAGCGAGATTTTTGATCGAGATTTTGTCTCGGTCCGGCCTCTACTATTGTAAAACACTCAATACTAGCTACACCTCTATTTTAATTATGGCTCATGAAATTTGGTTGACCATTGGGTGGGAGGAGTACCTAAGCGATACCTTCTGTTTAGGATACACCTCTATTGAAATACAACTATTCCATCGCCTAGAGGTCCTACTTTACTGAATTTAAATAATTTTTCTTTTAAACATCCAAACAAAAATATTGAAATTTTTATCTATAATCGGTTCTACCTTTTAGATTTTTTTATTATTTTTCCTTTAAAGTACTAAAATATACAAACACAAAAATATTTTTAAAAGACAAAAATCCATGTATTCTTTTCTTAACAATTTCAAAATAAATTTAAAAAATAAGAAATAAAAGACAGTCCTTTTAAAGAAAAAAGAAATTTTAGAGGCACTTTAGATGAAGATCTACTAAATAGTTAAAAATGTGTATTTTTCGCAAATCATTATAAAACTTTAAAAACACCCATTGTTTGTTTATTTGTTCTTTTGTATTTTCTCTTTTTTTTTAATCGCGCACTTTAATTTTTCTATTCAACCTAGGAAATTTAAAAATATTTTTGATAAAAACATGAATCGAATAAATTTATTATGAAAATAATTTTTCTGAAAAATCAGAATTATTGATGTTTTAGGGAAAATCAGAATTATTTAAAAATGTTTCTTTCCGGAAAAATAAACATGTTTAGATGTTTTACCTTAAAATAGATTTATTGTGTTTTTCCGGAATATAGAATTATCAATGTTTTCCGGAATATAGAACTACTTATATGAATGTTTTCCGGAAAATATAATAAATGTTTCCGGAAAAAATATCGTTGATGTTTTCCGGAATATATAGAACTATAAATGTTTTCCGGAAATAATAAATTTTTTTGATGTTCTTTCCGGAAAGACAATAATTGTTACCTTTCTCCTTTCCAGAAGGTTAGAATTATAAAACATTCATAAACATTTTTGTATTTTTTGTTTGATGTTTTGTTTAAATTCCGGAATTGTTTAAATTTTTGTTTGTTAAAAATGTTTTGAATTTCACAAATAAACTTCTTAATATAACAAAAACAAAACATTAACTTTGCAATAAACAATAGACGCTGTCTTCAATTAAAGAAAGAAAATGTTTTTAATTTGCATTGTCTTTCCTCCCAAAAATGGAAAAGTCATCAATACTTTTTTATAAGGAACGTCTTTCCCGCTTTTGGGTTGCTTAATTTTATATTCACATTTCTTCACTCTTTCTAGGCCCAAAATAATTAATGAAAAAAGCCTCCGAACCTAAAAATATTTTTTTTCTTTTAATTTTATGTCAGTCCTCAGCTGTTTGGGGGGTAATTTTTCATTTCTTTTATTCACATTAAAATCAATTTCATTCCGTTTAAAATTAATTATCATTTAAAAGATGTGAAGGTGAGGAGGGGACAAGAGATAAGCGGCAACAATAATGCATTTGCTTTTTTTTTATTTTTTGTCATTTACACTTTAAGGAACATTTGTTTGATCATGTAAAGCCATTAATTTTGTAAAGCCATTACTTTTATTTAATTGCGTGACTAAATTGTTAGACATTTTTTAAAACAAGTTTGTTTCTGAAACTATAAGGAAGTAATAATATTTTTCCGGAAGAATAGAATATTACATGTTTTTTCCGGAAATATTAAATTTATTTTCTTTCCGGAACTTGTTTTAGCTACGTATATTTATTAACTATTTTTCTTTCCGGAAAAATAATATATATTTCCGGAAGAATAGAATATTACATGTTTTTTCCGGAAATATTAAATTACTTTTCTTTCCGGAAACCTGTGTATTACTTATATATGTACATTATTGATGTTCTTCCGGAAAATTAATTATTTTAGAAGTTATAATTTTCCGGAAAATGTATACTACTATATTTATTATTTTTTTTCCGGAAAATTAATATAAGTATTTAAAAAACATTGATGTTTTTCCGGAAGATCTAAATGTTTTCTAAATCATAAAATCAATTGTTTTTTTCCGGAAATAGTTTAACTATAATTATGTATTAATTCAATACATTATTAATATTTTTCCGGAAAACTATAATTATCTTAGATGTTTTCCGGAAATATCAGGTTTATTTTCTTTCCGGAAAATGTATTTAATAAACATTGATGTTTTTCCGGAATATCTATTAATTTTCTTTCCGGAAGGATAAGAATATTATACATATTATTGATGTTTTTCCTGAAGAAATTAGATGTTTTGAGTTAGATTAGATATTAGATGTTTTTCTACATATTAAATTTATTAGTTCTTCCGGAAAATGTTTTATAGCTATAATTTTCTTTCCGGAATAATATTATAGTATAATTGATGTTTTTCCGGAAGACTATAATATTTATTAGATGTTTTTCTACATATTAAATTTACTGTTTCTTTCCGGAAAATTCCCATCTAAATTCAAAACTTTAAATATTTAGATAAAATCCATAAAATTTTGAATGGCCAAAAAATGGTTGTCAAGAGCTAGACAAAGTCACGAATTGGTACCAAGCAGCGAAGAGCCCCAACAACAACAGAGCCTTCAACCTACTGAGAATAAAACCTTGAGAGAAGGAACACAAAAAAGTGATGCGAATGGGGATGATGCTTTATTGCACGATTCGCACCCTCAAAAAGGCAAACGAAAACTTTCTGTATTGGGGCATGAACTTTTTGATAGAGGACAGTGGAGTGGTAAAATAAAATTTTGAAAAAAATTTGGATTTAAAAATAATTATCAGGTCAATTTGACTTTCTAATGAGCATGATTGCATATGCTGTTGGATTAGGTACCGAGGAAATAAAAAATAAAATTTAATTAAAAAATAGGCAATGTTTGGCGATTCCCCTATTTATGCTTTAAAAATGGAGGAGGCTCTTTTCTTGTTGTTTATGCCTTGTTTTTTGTATTTGGTGCCGTGCCTATTTTTATTATGGAAGTGACAGTCGGCCAATACTTACAAAGGGGTAAATCTGTCCTCGTATTAAATCGGAATAAGTTTTGATAATTTTAAGGTGCTATGGAAATGTGGAAAATGTGTCCTATTTTTAAAGGTAAAGATAAATATATTGTTTGGAGTGTTATGTTTTCCGGAAAACAACTATTATGTCTTTCCGGAAAGCCACGTATTAATGCTTTTTTCCTGAAAATTAATTGTTTTCCCTTCCGGAAAAACAAATATACAAATATATTATAAAGTGTTTCTTTCCGGAAAAATAATTATTAAATGTTTGTTTCCGAAAAAACAACTACCAAATGTCTCCCTCTCTCTCCTTTCCTGAAAAACATTAAATATTTTTTTCCGGAAAAATAAATAATATTGTTTCTTTTCCGGAAAAACATAGCTGTTAATGTTTTTTCCGGAAAAATACAATTTTTCTATAGGTGTTGGAATCGGCAATGTTGTGATTGCTTTTATGTGTAAGTTTTGTAAGATGTTTTTAATCTTTACATTAATGTTTTCAGGTATTGCCTATTTTTGTGTTATTGTCTCTTGGGCAACTTTTTATATGATTAGTTCATTTAACTCTACATTTCCCTGTAAAATTTATTTTAATTTTCATAAACTTATTCTCTAAAAAGGGGAAACTTGCAACAATTATTGGAATAACGGCCAGTGTGTTACAGGCAAAGAATCCACTTCAGAAATTATGCGGATTACTTCTAATCTTTCCCGCTATGGTTTAAGCATCGAAAGTTCCGTTGAGCAGTATTGGGAGTGAATTTTAAAATTTTTCTTTAGGAGGAAAAATTTTTAAAAATTTTTGAAAAAAATTTTTTTTTGAAAAAAAAAATTTTTTGAAAATTTATGAAAAAAAATTTTTTTGAAAAAAAAATTTTGAAAAAATTTCTGAGAAAAAAAATTTTTTGAAATTTTTTCGACTTAAATTTTTTAAAAATTTTTTTGGAAAAAAAATACTAAAAAAAATTTCCGAGAAAAAAATATTTTTTTAAAGACGCCGTGTTCTCAAACAAACAGCAACAATTTCTGACATTGGAGGTATTCAATGGGAATTGCTTGGATTAATGTTCCTTTCATGGGTGATAGTCTATTTTGCTTTATGGAAGGGGATAACGCAAGCAAGGAAGTTTGTCTATTTCTGTGCGATATTCCCCTATTTTCTTATTGTTGTGTTGCTTATACGAGGACTGACTTTGCCTGGTGCTATGACTGGCATTTCTTTTTATTTGACTCCGAATCTCACAAAATTGACTGAAACTACTGGTTAGGTTTACATATACAGTGTGGAGCTTGTTTATACGTCACCCCTCATACACAAAAATTGACTTTTAAGTAGGGTTGCGCAAGGTCGAGGTTCTTGGCGAAGACCGAGGACCGGTCGAACCGAGACCGGTATTGGAAAATTGGCGAGGACCTCGGTCTCGGCGAGGTGGGATCAGGGTGACCCTTTCCAAACCACTAAAATAGGGCGCAGCCACTGAAAAATGTGGCAAAAATAGGGCGAAAATGGTCAAAAATAGGGCAAAAAATAGGGCATTGCTTTAAATTCATAAAAAATAATTAAAATTATAAGACAAAGCTTTATTCCATATATTTCTCACTAGTTTAAACTAAATTAAGAAATCTGGTTCAGAATTAGGGGTAAATAAGGGATAGACAAACCTAAAGTGTATAACTAGTTTTTGCAATCATATATCGAGCTATCATTAAGAATAGCAGTAGTGTATATCAGGGCTCGCACCGACAAAATCACTGATTCCCAAAATTGGGGATCCTTAGTATGCATAACATTCCCTTAAAGTTGTAAGTTGTCTTTCGGCGCCGCAGGCGAAAATTTTGAGAATTATCGAAGGTCAACGGTCAGATTTCTTCATTTTTCTGCCAGTTCGTTACAAAATACTAAGAATTGTAAACATTTTTCAAAATAGTAAAAATAGGGCAAAAATATGGCAAATGAAAAAATAGGGAAAAAATAGGGCGAAAAGGTCAAAAATAGGGCAAATGCCCTATAAATAGGGTAAAAGGGTCACCCTGGGTGGGATCCCACTTCCAAGTCGGCTGACGTATAAACGAGATCCGACCGTAACTAACCTTCAAAAAATTAATTTTATTAAAGTTTGGAAGGATGCTGGCACTCAAGTATTTTATAGTTATGGAGTTGGCTTTGGAACACTCATTGCACTAGGATCCCACAACAAATTTACTCATAATTGTTATCGGTAGGGGAAATTAATTAATTTTATTTAATTATTGTTTTTCAAGGGATGCTATAGTTATGTGCTTTATTAATGGAATGACCTCAATCCTTGCTGGATTTGCTATTTTCTCAATCCTGGGATTTATGTCGACGGTGGCTGCTAAACCTATAGCAGAGATTGTTAAACCTGGTATGGTTTATAATTAATTAAAATTTAAGCTTGAACTTATTTTTATAAACAAGTTTTCAAGTTTAGGTTAATTCAAGTTTATTTTGTGTTTAAGCTCCTGTTTTTATTTCAAGTTTTAAAGTTTATTTAATCAAGTTGTAAAAACTTAGGTTTATTTAATATTTAATTCAAGTTTATTTTTAAATTTAAGTTTATTTTTATATTTAAGTTTTCAAATTATTATTTTCAAGTTTGTTCTATTTTTAAGTTTACAAACTTAAGTTTATTTAGTTCAAGTTTATTTTTTAAATAAGTTTTATTAAATCTAAACTTAAGTTTGCTCATTAATTCAAGTTTATTTATTAATTCAAGTTTTTAAGTTTGAGCTTATTTTTAAGTTTTCAAGTTTAAGCTTGCTCATTAACTCAGTTTTATTTTTAATTCAAGCTTATTTTTAAAGTAACCCCATTTTTATAGTAGTTCATTATTTTTGTAGGTGTTGGTCTTGCCTTTCTAGCTTACCCAGAAGTGGCAAGCAACTTGCCTTTGAAACAACTATGGGCATTTCTCTTCTTTCTAATGATTACAATTCTAGGCCTGGACAGCCAAGTAATCCTTCCATTCTTTTATTTTTTATTTCGAATTTAAGGTGTGTATGCTCGAAGGTTTATTTACTGCATTAGAAGACACATTCCCTACCCTTTTACGAAAATACAAAAAAGTTTTTTAGAAAAATTTTTTCAAAAATTTTTTTTACTTCGAAGATCTCCCTATTACTTACTTGCCTTTTCTTTTTTATAATTGGAATTCCTATGGTCACATATGCCGGTGCTCACTGGCTTACGTTGGTAGATGCATATGGGGCTTCTGGCATTGCTCTACTTTTTGTAGTTTTCTTTGAGGTGGTTGGACTTGCTTGGGGATTTGGTGAGAAAATATCTTATATTTGCATTATTGTTTTTTTCTGAAAACAAAAATTTAGGGTTCTTTCCGGAAAACTATATTTTCTTCCCAAAATATTAAATGTTTTTCCGGAAAACATAATTTAACTTTTCATTCCGGAAAAATTGTTTTCCGGAAACTAATGGTAATTCCTTTCCGGAAAAATATTATTTAATATCTTTTTCCGGAAAGCAAATTTAGGTCTATTTCCGGTAAAATGAATATTATTATATATTTTTCCGGAAAATAATAATAGAACTTTTCCGGAAACCCCATATTAAATGATTTGATGTTCCTTTCCGGAAAAATTAATATTGTTAAATGTTTTTCCGGAAAACAATGTCAATCTCTTCCCCTTAAGAAATTATATTTGATATGTTTCCTTTGTTAGGTACTCATCGTGTCCGAAAAGCCCTAAAAGAAATGGTTGGCTTTTATCCACTATCTTGCTTCAATATTCTATGGAAGTATACTGCTCCGCTTAGTGCTCTGGTAATATTTTTAAACACCCCTAACATTCCTTTAACTCATTTTAGATCCTCTTTGTTTGTTGTCTTGTAATGTACGAACCTTTGCGTTACCCTACTGGAAAGAATTATCCTTATTGGGCAGAAGCTTTTGGCTTTTGCCTTTCTGCGTGTTCCATGGTTGTTATTCCTGGCTATGCTCTTTATTATATTTTCCATAGAGGGGATAATCTGACACCTTTAGAGGTGAATTTATTTTTTAAAGACGTCCAAGTTTATTAATATTCCAGAGGTTTCGCCGTGGAATCCACCCTCCCAATGAACTGGAGATTACAGCCCATAGGAGCGGTCATAACGACGAGGAACTCGAATTTATAGATAAGCCTCGAACGCCGAAGGGCGTCTCGAGTGTTGGCGTTTAATGTGATTAATAAATTCTTTTTTTTAAATTTATTTGTAATTCTCCTCAATTTTTGGTGCTAAAATTAAAAAATATATTTGGGAAAAGGTCCTTAAAATTAATTTTTTGGAATAACCAAAAAATTGAGGAAACTTTTAATGCCGAATGATGATCTTATCTTCGTCACAAATGCCTCTAATAATCTCTTAAAATTATTTTAATCTTCCTTAATTTGTATTCACTTAATAATTATTATTTTCCCCCAAATTCATTTTCTAAATGGTTGCTTTATATTAAGGATTTAATTGGTAAGGTATAATTGTTTTCATTTAAATTTAAAAATGACGAGGGGTTTAGAAAGAAAAAACGGAATAAATTAAATGTGTTTTCCGGAAAAACATTTTATTAAGTTCTTCCGGAAAGAAGCATTTAATTGTATTTAGTATATTTCCGGAAAATAAATATTAATTGTATTTTCCGTAAAAACAAATAATATATTACATAAATGTGTTTTCCGGAAAACATCTAATATTATAAATGTTTTCCGGAAAACAAATTACTTTAAATGTTTCTTTCCGGAAAAACATAATACATATTAAGCGTGTTTTCCGGAAAACAATAATGTATTAAATGTGTTTTCCGGAAATATAATATATGTATTAATTGTATTTTCCGGAAAAACAAATAATTTTGAAATGTGTTGTTCGGAAAACATAATAATATTAAATGTTTTTCCGGAAACATAATATATATTAATTGTATTTTCCGGAAAAAACAAATATAATATATTAAACATGTTTTCCGGAAAACAAAATAATTTAAAATGTTTTTTTTCTGGAAAAACATATAATTTAAAATGTTTTCCGGAAAAACATTAATAAACAAAACATTTGTTTTACTAAATCCTTAATAAAATAAACATGCAATGTAATTTACTCCCAACAAAACATCAAATAAAACAATTACCTTTTTATTGGATAAACTTTTTAAATGTTTTGACAAAGTTGTTTTTAAATACTATAAAAACCCAACAATTTCTTCCCAACATTTTTAATTCAAACAACGTCCAAACAAGTTTATTTTTTCTTCTTCTCAAACATATAGAAGGATGTCTTTAATTACCGAACTTGAGCACATTTTGATTGCTATTATTGTCTTAAATTTAGTTTCTTCAGTTGTTATTGTTGCTTTGTCCTATTATCTTTACAAGAAGATTTGTGAAGCAAAGGTGTTTCTCTTAGATTTGTTTCAAAAATTTTCTTTTTTCAGGCACCATTAGAACAAATAGCCAAATGTTTGCATTCAAGTATTTTGCCGTTCTACTTTGCTTATACTCCAATTGTTGTATATGTTGTTATTGCATTCCAATATGGCCACAAACTTGATGAAGTCTGTTTTTCTTTTAATTTTACGTAAAAGACAAAATTTTCGTCAGACAAATTTTAATTTAAAAGCACGACTTAAAATCAACTAGAATTAGAGACAGGAATGGGGTCTCGGTCGTTCCCAGGTCTCCCAGTACTTTTCTCGGCATTTTTGGAGAGTACCTGGATGAAACTGGAATTTCGAAGTGCCGATTTTTCAGGTCTGGGTTTCTTCCCGAATTTATTTTCTTAGAGCTGTAAGTTCAAATCCAAACCTATCGCTTGTCTGTTTGAATAAGGAGTTTCAAGCCGACCTGATTCACGAAAATCAAGAACCCCCGTCGGTTTTTTGAGTTGGGATCCTTATTTCTCGGTCTGGAATTTTATTTTAATATCGGCTAGATCCCTCTACTAATAACTTAAACATTCCTTAATTTAAAATCTTCAAATAATTTCAATTATTTCAGATAAAGTCGATATATCAACAATCAAAAAATGATCGAAAAAACTTTGTGATGGAAAACTTTGGAAGTGATTCAATTTCTAAAGAGTTTTGCAACGAATTTGGAAGCCTTTTTCTCAAGTATGGGTTTGATGGTGAAAGGATTCTGTCCAATGAATAAATTAATTAATTGTTGTAAAATTACCTATTTGTAAAATTGTTTTTATTTCCGGTTTTTTTCAATAAATACAAAATTGCTTTAAAGCGCTTATTTTATTCGTGCCAGCACCGCCCTACAAAATTCCACCGGCATTAGAGTACATATAATGTCCAGACGGTATTTTTTCAGATGGTGTTTTTTTGCCCTTCCTCTTTTATTGAGATTGTACATGTAAATTTTTAGTAGTAGAAGAACATCCTTTTGCGGTCCTTTTTGTCTGGTAATATGTAATCCCTTCCTTGGGCATTTCCTAAATATTTTTACAATTTGATTTTTCACAACAAAAATTCCAGACGGCATTAGAGTATGACGGTATGTTTTAGAGTATGACGGATTATAGTATGACGGTATAATGACCAGACGGTAGTTTTTTAGACGGTGTTTTGCCCTTCCTCTTTTATTGAGATTGTACATGTGGATTTTTAGTAGTAGAAGAACATCTTTTTGCAGTTTTCTTATTTTTGTCTGCTAATAATCCCTTCCGTAGGCATTTCCATTTCAGTCTTAATAAACTAAATGTAGTATGCTTTTTAATAAGCAGGAGTATTCCAAAGATCTATAAAATATTTCCCTAAATATTTTTACAATTTCTTTTTCACAACTAACAAAATTTTGCAATTTTAAAACCTTTTTTGCAACAATTAAAACTCGAATTTACCAATCTTGTTTTACAATTCCTTAAATTAAGTTTTACAATTTCACAACTTTCTTTAAAAAATTAAAACTTATTTTCAACGCTTTAAATTTAAAAACAAGTACAAAACTTTACAATTTCAGAAACTTTTTTACAACAATTGTAAACTTTGTTTTACAATTCCTTAAATTAAGTTTTACATTTTTCGCAACTTTTTTAAACATTTAAAACTTGTTTTACAATTTCTCAAACAACGATCTTTACAATTTTACTGTATAAACATTATATGTGTTCAAAAACATGTCAATAAAACATGTTTTACAATTTACATATACATATTTGCATGTTCATTCCAAATATGTAAAAGAATATATAAATTATTTTTAAAAAACATTAGCCATAGCTGCTTATTAAAGCTTTATATTTAATGTATCATCTTCCTTTCTCAATTTCCCCCTTTTTATTCACACTTTTATATACAAATGTCCACAAATATTATAAAGTAGCTTATATTTTTTTCTTTTTTGTATCCCCAAGAGAGCCATTATTTTTAGTGACAGTTATTCTCTTCCTTCTCTCCACTTTCTCGACACTTTCCAAAAGGTCACCTTTTGGCCATTAGCTTCGATTTCCTTTTACTATTCTTGGCTTATAAACTCTTGGGAGGAAAACATTTTTTTTCTCTAACTGACAGCTTTTGTGTCTTTTTCTTATTTTAAGCCTTAGCCGTATCCGCTTTCCATTTTCCTCAACATAATGTCAAAGTGTCAAAATGTCCATAACGGTAAAATTGTACATAATGTCTATAGGACAATAAGTCGACTTTTAAAAAATTTTGCAAAATGTCACTTTGACAAAATGTCCAATAACGAAAATTTTTTCATTTTGTCTAGTACCATTTTGACAGATTCACGTCTACTGGCATTTTGTAAACCAGCTTAAAATTTCTTTTTTTGCCTCGTTTTCCAAGTTAAAAAATACATTCTTTCTCTTTTTTCTCGTTACTTCTTCTCTCTCTCCCTCAACTTCTCGACTTATATATCCATCAACTCTTCCATGTCAAGAACTTTATTTGCGTGCCGCAAACTAGAGTAGTAATAATATATTTGAGTGTAAGGCAATTGCCCTCAAAGGCAAGAATATTCTATATATATTCTTTTTCCTTTCAATTTTTTACCTCATCATCAGCACCTCCGTTATATCCGCCGACTTTCTTTTTTTTTCCTCACTCAATCAATCCAGAGAGCCTCATATAGCCTCTTTCCTGTTAATTTTTCTTTTTAAAAATTTTCCCAAAAATGTCCCCAAATTTGTTCAATTTTTTTTCTTTTCTTTTTACAATGTTACTACCTTCAACAAACTTGAAATGCGCTAATTCCTCTTCTTTTTTTACTACAATTATTATTTTTTTGCTTTTTTTGTGTTTGTTTTTATTTGTGTGTTTTTGTTAAATAATCCATGTTTGTTTTAATAAAAAAAAGTTTGTAAAACATCCATTTAAATAAATTTGTAAAACTTTTTACAATTTGTGAATTGTAAAAGGTTGGAACCTTAAAGCAACTTTTTTGCAATTTACAAAATCACTCTTTTACAATTTGTAAAATTGTAAAACTTTTTTTTCCGAACTTTTACAATTTATTTTACAAATTGTAGAAGGTTGAAAAGGTTTATTTTTATAATTTGTAAAAAAAGGTTTGTTTTAACTTATTCTTTAAACTTACAAATTGTAATAAGTTTTATTTTCCCCTTTTACAATTATGTGCTTAATTTGTTTGGGATATTACATAATTCATGGATAAAACAAATTATTGCCTTCTAAACAGTTTATTATTAAATACGTTACCTGCGCGATTTTCTACTAGGTACTACATATTTACCTTGACTCTTTTAATTACTTTTTAATATTTACATACACTTTTGTTCATATTTTTTTGAAAGAGACAGACTTTAATAATAAAAAGAGGATTTTGATGTTTTATTATACCTTTTTATTAAATAAAGTAAGCTAAATATTTTTCGGATGCAGTATAAAACAAGTTCAAGTTCAGTACAACTTCGTTTTTACAATTAAATATTTAAAACTTACTCTTATAAATTGTTTTACAACTTTTAAGTATTGTTTGTTAAAACTTTGTTTTCCCTTTTTTTTACAATTAAAAGAAAATTCTAAAATAAATTGTAAAAACAAAGTTGCAAAAAAATTCATCTTAATTTTACAACTTGTTTTACAATTTTTTAAAACTTTGTTTTACAACCTGTTTTACAATTAAAAGAAAATTGTAAAACAATGTTGTTACAACTTTGTTTTGCAACTTATTTTAATTTTCTAAAACTTTGTTTTACAATTTTCTTTTATCAAGTTTATTTTTTCTTTTACATTTTAAACATGTTTGCAAACTTAATAGCGTTGTAAGTTTGTAAAACATTTGTGTTTTACAATGTTTATATGTTTGCACACCCATGTGTGAATATTTAATGTTATTTACTTTCCATTGCCATTCTCATTCCATTCTCTACTATTTTTAGCTGCCATAAGAAGCCGGAAAGGCAGTCGCTAATCAATTTTAATTGTAATGATTGTGTAGGCCTGTCAAAGGATAAAAAAATAAACAACAAAAATAAATAAAAATATTTTTTATTAAAAAATATTTTCCCCTTTTCTCATTTTTCAATTTTTTCAAACAATGCGGGGGAAGCACTAATATTATGACTGTTATATATTTTTTTTGATTGACTAAACTGATTTAAAATTGAATGACTGACTACCCTACTAATTTTTGAGCGACTTTAATATTTTCTTTATTGTTCTTATAATCATCAAATAAATATTTTTTTGATCGTTCAATCATCTCAAATAAATATTTTTTATTTAAACAACGAAAAAAACAACAAAAAATCCTCTTTTTAAATTAAAAATTTAATTGATCTCTTTTTTGCTCAAAGCGGCATTATATTAAAAATAAATAATTTAATTAAATAAATAATTTAATTAAATAAACCTCAAAAATGGCCGATTTAGAGGCTGTTTTGGCCGATGTTTCTTATTTAATGGCTATGGAAAAGAGTAGAAGTCAGCCGGTTAGCCCCAATTTTTGTTTAAGAATTAATTGTAAATTAATTGTAAATTCATAAATTTAATTTGTAAAATTGTAAAAATAACCAAAAAATATTTTAGGCTGCCCGCGCCTCAAAGAAAATTGTTCTGCCAGATCCCAGGTCTTTTTGTGTTTTAAATCACAAGTCAGGTTGTGCGCAAAAACAACAGACAAAAAAACATTGTTTTATAAACAATGTTTAAAACATTTGTAAAATTTAAACTTTAAAGGAATGTAAAAATAAAATTGTAAAACAAGTTTTACAATTATGAAATAGACGAGCTTTGTTTTACAACTTAGTACAACTATTTTTTACAAACTATACCAATTTTACAGTTATATTAGAATTGAATGTTTTAATAATAAACTTGTTTGGCGCGCAACAAGAAAATTGTAAAACAAGTTTTAGAATTTCAAACAAACGAACATTGTTTTACAACTTTGTTTACAACTTTTTTTACAATTAATTATTAATAAAACTTGTTTTACAATTCCCTTGTTTATTCAAGTTTTGTTTAAAATTAATTTTACTACATTTGTAAAAAAAGTTGTAAAAGTTGTAAACAAAATTGTAAAACAAAGTTTATAATTTATATAAACATTGGAGTTGTAAAACATGTTTTTAAAATTATAAACAATGTTTTTGCGCACATTTTAAAATTTATTTTTTTATTTTACAAAATACGTTTAAATTTAAAGTGTTCGAAGTATAATGCAAAAATATCTGGAGAAGACAGGGGAGATTCGTTTTGAAAAAATATTTTCCCAACGACTCGGGTTTTTACTTCTCAAAGATTTTGCTGAAAATGTTGCAGAAACTTCATGCCCCCAAATTAAATTTTATGAGGCAATTAAAGAATATGAAAAATTGGAAACACCGGAAGAGAGACTGACTAAAGCTAGGGAGATTTATGATCATCATATTATGGTTGAATTTAAAGGAAATTTTTTTAGAAAGAAAATTTTTCTGTTTTAAGGTGGAAATGCTTGCACATTCACATGTTAGTTTCTAAAAACATTTGGTCAATTAATTGTTTTGACCAATTAATTGTTCGAAAAAAACAATTAATTGGTCAATTATTTGTTTTTAAGAACTACACAAAAGAAAGCTTACAACACGTCCAAAGGCATTTAATGAAGAACAATGTCCCCCCTGACCTCTTCCAGCCTTATGTGATGGAAATATGTGATCAGTTGAAAGAAGATATTTTCCCCAAGCTTTTGGAAAGTGACAAATTCACAAGATTTTGTCAATGGAAAAATCTTGAATTAAATATGAACTTGACAATGAATGACTTTTCTGGTGGGGAATTTTTGGGATTTAAAGTTTATTTTGTGTTTTTCCAATTTTTGTTTTGTATGAACTTTGTAAAACAGAATTGTAACTTGTTTTACAAATTCTAAGTTTATTTTGTTTTTTACAACTTGTTTCCAACAAATTGTTAAAACATTTTGTAAAACAAGTTTTATTTACAATTTGTAAAATAAGCTTAAAACATTTTTACAATTTGTTTCTACAAATTGTAAAACAAACTTTTTTTAACAAATCCTTTTTGTTTTACAAATTGTAAAAAAATTTTAAAGTTTATTTTGTGTTTTCACGATTCTTGTTGTAAAAACACATATTGTTTTACCTATATGTTTTACAATTTTTACAAATTGTAAAACATAGTAATTTGTAAAATAAAGCTTCTTGTTTAATCAAGTTCCTAGTAAAAACATTGTAAAACAAGTTTAGGCTTGATTTTGTTTTTACAATTTGTATCCAAGACAATGAAAAACAGAAAAAAACTTTTTACAAAACTTTTTTTCCTATTTCACAATTTGTGTTTTATTAAATTTATTTCTTTTATTTTTGAATTTTATTTTTTATTTTTAGTCCACCGAATAATCGGACGGGGCGGTTTCGGTGAAGTCTACGGGTGCAGAAAGGCAGATACTGGGTTCATATTTTCTATTTTTAATAAACCAAAATGAATTAAAATTAAAGCAAAATGTATGCAATGAAGTGCCTGGACAAGAAAAGAATTAAATTAAAACAGGGAGAAACACTAGCTTTAAATGAAAGTTGGGAAAAAATTTTTTTTTAATTATTTAATTAAACAAATTTTAGGAATAATGCTCAGTTTGGTTAGCACGGGAGTAAGTTTTATTTTTGTAAAATATTTACAATTTATTTTATTTACAATTTGTAATTTTATTATTTTAGCAAGACTGTCCTTTTATTGTTAGCATGTCATACGCCTTTCAAGTTGGTTTTTTACAATTACAATTTTATTTTAATTTACAACTTTTTACAAATTGTAAAAAATTTTTAAGACTTGTTTGATTAAGTTTATTTAAACATTGTTTAAAAGTTATAAACAAGTATTTTGTAACAAGTTCGTGAACAAGTTGTAAAAACATCTTTTAACAAAACATTGTTTTGTAAATTTACAACTTGTTTCACAACTTTAAATTTTACATCCTAAATATTAAAACATGTTTTACAATTTTAAACATTGTTTTTTGTATTTTTTAAAAATTGTAAAAACATTCTTTTAATAGAGGTTTGTTTACCACAATGTTTAGAATTGTAAAACATGTTTTAATATTAAAGTTGTAAAAAACAAGTTGTAAATTTTCTAAACAAGTTTTTTGACTATTGTAAAACATGTAATTTACCGAAAGTTGCCTTTTTAATTAATAATCTCTTTTAGACGCCAGACAAACTTTGTTTTATTTTGGATTTAATGAATGGCGGCGATTTGCATTATCATCTTTCTCAACACGGGGTTTTTAGTGAATCTGAAGTTATTTTTTATGCAGCCGAAGTTATCCTTGGCCTTGAACATATGCATAATAGGTAATAAATAATTAACTAAATAAAAATTAAATTTTAATTTTTAGAACAGTCGTCTACAGGGATTTAAAACCAGCAAATATACTTTTAGACGAGAATGGTCATGTTAGGGTGGGTAAAGTTTTAAAAGTTTTGTTTCTGTTTTCAACAAGTTGTAAAAAACATTGTTTAAAATATTTTACAAAACAAGTTTTATTTCAAGTTGCAAAACTTGTAAAAATTTAAACTTGATTGTAAAACATGCTTTTAATGTTTTGTAAAACAACTTTTAATAGGTGGTGTTTTTAAAGTTTCCAACTTTTTTTACAATTTGTAAAACAAGTTTTAAATAAAATTTTGTTCGGAAACAACATTGTAAAACTTTGTTTTTAAGTTTATTTTTTGTTTGTTTCCAAGTTTAAAAATATGTTTAAAACATTTTTACAAAACAAGTTTATTCAAAGTTGCAAAACTTGTTTTTTTTTCAACTTGTTTATAGTTTTTACAAATTGTAAATTGTAAAAACAATGTTTTGATTTATTTTAAAAACAAATTGTAAAACTTTCCTATTTTGTAAATGTTTCACAATTCTCTTCCTTTTTAACAGGTCAGCGATTTGGGTTTAGCCTGTGACTACTCTAAAAAGAAACCTCACGCAAGTGTTGGCACTCACGGCTATATGGTAAATTTTATTAACAACAAACAAATTTGTCACGTTATTTAAGGCCCCAGAAGTTCTTGCAAAAGGAGTGGCTTACGACTCGTAAATATTTTTTATTTATTAAAAACACTTTTGTTTAGTTCCGCAGATTGGTTCTCCTTTGGTTGTATGTTATATAAACTACTTAAAGGGCACAGCCCATTCCGGCAGCACAACAAAGGCAAAAAACATTCTCAAGACAAAAATGAGATTGATAAAATAACGTTAACACAAGACATTGAATTGCCTGATCAAGGCTTTTCTCCCGAATGCAGAAATCTTTTGGAAGGATTGTTAAAGAGAGATGTACAAGAAAGGCTTGGTTGTAAGGGGAAAGGGTAGGGAAGAGGATTTTTAAGAAAATCTTTAAAAAAATATTTTTTTAAGAGCGGAAGAGATAAAAACACATCCTTTCTTTCGTGGAGTTGACTGGCAAGTTGTTTACCTACGGAGAATGGCTCCTCCCCTAATTCCGCCTAGGTAAGAAAAATATAAGCTTGAATTAATTAAAATACATATGTAAAATTGTAGAGGTGAAGTTAACGCTGCCGATGCTTTTGACATTGGAAACTTTGATGATGACGAGGTTTGTAAAAATTTACAAATTGTAAAAAGAATTGTAAAAAATTTACAAATTGTAGAAATAAAATTACAAATTGTGAAAATAAATTTACAATTGTAAAAATAAAATTTACATTTTGTAAAAAAATTTACAAATTGTAAAAAATTACAAATTGTAATTTAAGGTTAAAGGCGTCAAGTTGGCAGATGCAGATAGCGAACTTTACAAAAACTTTAACATCATAATATCAGAACGGTGGCAGAATGAAATTGCAGAAACTGTTTTTGATGTTGTAAACCAAGATGCGGATAAGAGTGAACAAAAGAAAAGGGCAAAGCTTAAAACAAGGATAGCAGTTGACGAAAAAGGTGAGTTGGAAAAATGTTGGGAAAAGGTCAAAATTGTAAAACAAAGTTTTATATTTTGTAAAATTGTAAAACATTTGTAAAACTTTGTTTTAAACTTTAGTTGAACAAAGTTTTAAAAACTTGTTGTAAAAATACTTGTTGTTTCAACTTGTTTATAGTTTTTACAAATTGTAAAAACAATGTTTCGATTTATTTTAAAAACAAATTGTAAAACTTTTCTATTTTGTAAATGTTTTACAATCTTTCAACTAAGTTTAAAAATAATACCAAATTGTAAAACAAAGTTGTAAAGTTTCAACTTATTGTAAAACAAGTTGTATTTTAAAACTTTGTTTTAATTTGTAAAACTAAGTTGTAAAACAAAGTTTTACATTATTTTTACTTGACAAAACTTGAAAATTGTATACTTTTGTACAACAAAGTTTTAATTTAACAAGGTGAGACTGATTTGTACATTCATGGCTATATCAAAAAACTTGGTGGCCCTTTTACCTCTGCCTGGCAGATAAAATATGGGAAGCTTTACCCCAGCCGTTTGGAGCTTTATCCAGAGTCTTTAAGTGGAAAACCTGAGGTATCTCTTAACCCTAGTTTTCACAATTTTCTTCATTTTTTCAGTTACTTTTTATGGATCAAATTGACGAAGTGACTTCTGATCTTCAACAAGTAAAGGGAGAATCAGCTATTGTAGTTAAATTAAAAGAAGGATTGAAAGAGAACCGAGTTATTCTAACCAATCAAGATGAAATTTCTCTCAAAGAATGGCACACTTCCCTTAGAACTGTTTCTTTTTTCTTCTAAATTTTCTTATAAATTTTTTAATTTAAAGGCTCATCGGGTCTCTCAAGAATTGCTTCAAAGAATGGGGAGGAAAGCTATTAAAATTTACGGGGTTAATCATGACCCAATGCTTCAGGAAAGTGAAAGGCCCGGATCCGTTACGAGGGCAATTCTCAATAGGGCGTCTTCAACTGATTCTGGAATTTAAATAAAAGAAACTTATTTTACAATTTTCAAATAAATTGTTTCTAATTGTAAATTTCAAGTTTTGTGTTTTCTTAAAAACAATGTTTTCACAAAAATTGTAAAACATAAACATTTTGTAAAACACATTTAAAAAATAAACTTGTTTTACAAGAAAATAAAACAAGTTTTATTATAAAAACATTGATAAAACATTAATAAAAACATTAAAAACGTGTTTTGTAAATAAACATGTTTTACAAACAAGTTGTTCTACTGTTTTGCAATGTTTTTAAAACGCTACAACTTTTTTATTTTGTAAAAACTTGGTTTTTACGAATAAGTTGTTTAAGTTTTAGTGTTTTAAAAACATTTGTAAAACAAGTTTTATTTTACAAACATTGTCTCAATGTTTGTTTAACAAGTTGCAAATCAAGTTTATTTGTTTGTAATAATGTTTTAATGTTTTACAAGTGTTTTTAAATATAAAACAAGTTAAAACCTTGTTTTTTTTTGTTTGTAGAAACATTTACAGAACAAACATTCTTTTTAAAACAACTACAAACTTAAAACAAAGTTGTAAAACATGTTTTAAATAGAAAATACAATTTGTATAAAACACCTTTAATATTTTGTTCATTCTAGTCAAAAATTTTTGTTTCTTTTTTAAATTGCATTTTTAATTTTTTATTCATTGTGCCCCCAACAAGCATATCACCCCCTCCTCCCTTCTCTCATTTTTCAAACAAAAAATATTTTTTAGTCACATGTTTTGTTCATTTTACTTGCCATTATCAATTCTTTTATCGGCAACTTCTACTTCTCAAAAAACGAAAAAAGAAACCAATTTTTGTTCTCTTTTATCTCTACTTTTTTTGTTATTTTAAAAATTGTTTTATTTCCTGATTTGGCAACATTTTTAAAAATAAATTTTCAATTGTTTTTTTATTTGTTTAATAGCTTTTGAACCAACACAAGTTGTAAAACATGTGTTTTAAAAAAAGTTGGAAACTTGAATTAAAACAAGTTGAATTAAAACAAGTTTGTTTTTTTTTATTAACAAGTTTTGAAACATGTTTTGAAAAAAGTTGTAAATTTGGAATTAAAACTAAAGTTTTAAGGTTGGAAAAAAAAAGGAATTGTAAAACAAAAAGGAAAACAAAAAGAATTGTAAAAAATGTTTTGCTTAGAGTTTTGCTTTGCTAAAACAAAAGGAAAAACTTTTTTTACAATCCCTTTGTTTTCCTTATTTAAAAATGTTTTCTAATTTTGGCAGCATTATTTAAAGAAACAAAATATTTAATAAATATAGTTAGGTAGTTAAATTAGCAAAAGAAAGCTGTTTTTTAATTTTGCAAATTTCTAAAAATTATAGAAATTTAATTTTAAACATGCTAAAGTCTCCAAAATATTTTTAAACATATTTTCCTATAGATTAATTTAAAGGGTTTATTTTTGCATTAAAGGATTCGTACTAAGCGAGAAGAATCCTTTCCGGTTTATTTTTATTTTTAATAAAAACATCATGTTTTTATTGGATTTTTTTAACATTAAATTAATATGATTTTTAAGATTTTTTGTCAAATATATAGTTTTAATGTTTTACAATTCATAAGAAGCATTAAGTTTCACAACTAAGTTTTATAAATTGTAATTTCAACTTGGTTTTACAACTACAAGTTTCACAATTACAATTAGGTTTTCTATGTTTTACAACTATGTTTTAAATCAAGTTTTGCAACCTTTTTACAACTTAGTTTTACAATTTTGTTTTACAATTCAAGTTTTACAAATTGTAAAACTTTATTTTAAAACTTAATTGTAAAAATTAAGTTTTACAATTAAGTTTTTTTTATTCCAACTTTGTTTTACAATACTATAAAACACAAATATTCGTCATGTTTTACAAACTTAAATACTAAAGTACAATCTTATTATATTTCTATTTTTTATTCTTTTAAAAATCGGAAGTATATGTATACTCTCCTCTATTTACAATTTCATTTTTTCCCCAAAAATAACAATACCTCAAAAATAGTTATATGGCCTTTTTTTTACTTTTATCTAAAATGTCATCAGTAGCACGTCATTATGAAAAAGCACTCCTTTTTCCTTAACATTTTTTCCTTCGTTTACATGGTTCCCGATAAGCATTTAAAAAGAGTAGCGTCCATTTTCCTTCATTTTAAGCCTTAAATACAAGTGTGGCATTGTAGAGAGTCGACTGATGAGCGGCAGCTTTTCTAATGCTAATACCCAATATATAAAAATGCCTGCCTGTTCTCTCATTTTTTTCTATTTTCTCTTATTCTCCCACATTGGCACGCCTTTCCCCGTTCTTTTTTCCTTGCTTTTAAAGCATTTCCGCTTATATATAAAATGCCTGTGTGTTGCTGATTCCGCGAAGTTGTCCGTCCCCTCATCATGACTGCCATTTATCTTAAGCGAGAATGGGACATACGTATATTATATTTAGTCAAAGGCATATTTTCTCAAAAATGGCATACATATGCGCGCATATAAATTTCTCTCTTATTTCAGCTCTAAAACCAAAAGATCAACCATTTTATTCGCACCTAATTAGCTTTGTTTTACATCCTTGTTTTACAATGTTTTACAAACCTTATAAAAATAAACTTGTTTAACCAACATGTTTTACAAACCTGTTTTACAACTTTTTTACAAACATTTTTAAAAACTTTATGTTTGCAACGTTGTTTTATAAACCGTATGTCCTTACAAACATGTTTACAAACTTGTTTTATAAAAATTGCTTAAAACTTGTTTTACAACTTTTCATAAACTTGACAATGTTTTACAACATTTTTACTACTATGTTTTTTACCTTGTTTTTCGAACCTTATTTCTCTACGAACTTGTTTTACAAACTTGTTTTGTTGAAAAATTCCTTAAGACTTGTTTTACAACTTTTTTACAAACTTTATGTTTGCAACCTTGGTTTACAAACCTTAAGTTTCTACGAACTTGTTTTACAAACTTGTTTTATAAAAAATTCCTTGTTTTACAATTTAATTTACAATTATTCTAAAACTTCAAGTTATTTAAGAATACAAACGTAATTATAATTAAGATTGCGATCTTCTGGGTTATAGTCATACCTCCATTTCTTGCTTTAAGAGAGAACTCAAAAACAGGACGGAAACGTCCCTCGGCATTTCCTTTCACTTGCCAGCCTTATAGTATGTAAAAATTATCTCTATCTATCCCCCTTCAATCGATGTTTATATCCAACAGCAACAGCCCACCAAATATGGCAAAATTGCTTTAAGTAGTAAAAGAATTACCACAAAATTACCACACAACACCCACCAACCCCTTTCTGCTCTCTCTTCTTTTCTCTTATTGCCATTCTTTTTAAATAAAGCGCACCCTCATTTCCCACTTGTTTTCACTCAAAAGCCATTCTTCCATACAAAATTAACTTTTTTGGCTACTAAAATAATATGTATTTTTAGAGTGTTTTTTGTAGGTATTATTAGTATTCGGGAAGGAATTAATTTTAATTTAGTTAGTTAATATTGTTTTTACAATCCCAACCTTGTTTTTAAAAAATTAATTAAAATTAATCAACTTTATTTTTTACAATCCTTTTTACAATCCAAGTTTATTTTTTATAATTACAACTTTGTTTCTCAATTTCACCTTCCAACTTTTTTTTCGAATCCAACCTTCCTTGTTTTTACAATCCAGCCTTTTACAATCCAACCTTATTTTTACAATCCTAATGTTTTACAATCCATTATTTTTACACTCCAACTTTTATTTTACAAAATCCATTTTACAACCCCAACCTTGTTTTTACAATCTAACATTTTTACAATTTATCCCTTTTAATAATCCGAACTTTTCTAAAATCCCAACATTGTTTCTAAAATCCAACTTTGTTTTTCTATTCCAACCTTGTTTTTACAATCCAACCTTTTTTTACAATTTTTACAATCCAACTCTTAAAACTTTAAAAATTTCAGTTAAAAAATAATTCAAGTCCATGTTCGGCGTCCCCCTTTAAATTTATTCCCGGCATGGCAAAGTGTTGTAGCGTTGTTGTTGGAAGGACGAAGATGACAACAACATTTCCTCTATCAAAACAATCCCAGATTTATAAACTACTTTTGTTATTTTTGTTGCCAATTCTGTTCTGCTCATTGAGGGGAGAAGCAGCTTTGTTACAAGGTGGAAAAATTAAAATTTTTTGAAAAAATTTAAAATTTGGAGGAAATAAAAAATTTAATTTGGTCTAAGAGTATAATTGAATCGGGTCCATCCCAGAAGATTAAAACCCAGAAGGGGGTCTTGACCTTCTGGGAGGGTGGTCCTTCTCCTGGGTTGACTTGACCTCCTTCTCCAAGACTTGACCTTCTCCTCCTGGGTATTGACCTTCTGGGTTGATTGTTTTTACAATACCCTGTGGGATAGGACCCATGACATGCCACCCAGCAAATAGAAAAGTCTACCAAAAAACGTGTAAGCTACAAATTTTCACCTTTTTGCCTTTAAACTAACCAGACTTGTCCTTAAATAGAAAAAAGTAAGTTTGTTGTATTTTAGCGTGACTATTCATTGCCTTTAAAGTTTTTTTTATACCTTAAATATTTATAGACATAAAAATGATTCTATCTGAATTGTATTTAATATTCTAAGTTTGTATTTATTATATTAGTTTTACAAACCAACTTTAGTTTTTACAATTTTTATTTGTTTTTACAATTTTATTTCATTTTTACAATCCAACTTTTTTTACAATTAAAGTTTATTTTTTAATCCAACCTTTTATAATTCCAACTTGTTTCTACAATTTAAGTTTATTTTATAATCCAAATTTTTCTTGTATTCCAACTTTTTTTTAATTCAAGTTTATTTATTTAAATCCAACTTTTTTACAATCCAACTTTGTTTTTACAATTCCTATTTGTTTTCACAATTCAGGTTTTACAATTCAACTTTCTTTTTAAAATCCATTTTATTTTTACAATCCAACTTTCTTTTTTTTAATTCCAACTTTGTTTTTACAATTCAATTTTATAAAACTTTGTTTCCTTTTTTCCTTACACTTTCAGACATTGTAGCATCTAAAAATCCTTAACTTAATCTTCTAAAAAACCTTTTTTTATTCTTTTAATCCTTGTTACATTAAAACTATTTTATTTCCATTTTAAAAATTTTAAAATTGTATTACTTTATTTCTCAAACAAAAAGTCTCTTTCTAAATGTGTGGGGGCAAAGACGGAAATCACGTCAACAAAAATAAGAAACAAATAAGGAATATTAAATGGGTAAATAAAAATATTAAATAAAAAGCACTATAAATAGGTGGAAATAAAAATAAAAAGATTTTAAGATTAAATTAAAGATCAAAAGGAATAAAAGTTTAAATTAGGTAGTTTATTTTTGTCATTAAACTTATTTGTGAGAATTTGAAAGGTTAAGTTTATTAAGGTTCCTAGTTTTTTTTTAATTCTAATGTGTATTTACAATCCAACTTGTTTTTACAATTCAAGTTTATTTATTTAAATCCTACTTTTTTTGTAATTCCAACTTGTTTTCACAATCAAGTTTTATTTTCTAAAAATCCCACTTATTTTTATAATCCAACTTTTTTACAAGAAAAACATTTTAAAACTTTTTTTACAATTTGTAAACGAAGAATTAAAGTTTTACAATTGTTAAAAGTATTACTCAACTTTTTTACAATTGTAAAACATAATTATTTGTTTAAAAATTGTAAAACAAGTTTTAAAATGTTTTTCTTGTAACAAAAAGTTGGATGTAAAAACAAGTTGCATTAAAGAAGTAAAACTTGTTTTACAATTTTTAAACGAAGAGTTAAAGTTTTACAATTATGATAGTGTTTGTTTCGAAGTTCGAACTTTTTTAATAAATTAATTATGTTTTACAATTGTAAAAACTTATTTAACTTTCCATTAATGTTGTATTAAATTATTAAAACATGTTTTACAATTATTAAACGTCCTACTCTTCTTATTTAAAAAAATAATTTCCTTATTTTATTCGCAACCTTAAAATTGAGAATTTTTTTGTTTTTAGAGACCAATTACTATTTCTTTTATTTTTTCATTTTCTTGTTTTTGAATTTCTTAAACTCATTTTTCAATTTTCTTTTTTTTTCGTATTTCCCGATTTGGAATATAAAAGAGCCTTTGGCAAAACTGACATCAGAATGAACACAAAATTAAAATGGAAAGAAGAAAGTTTCCTTTAGGGAATAAAAGTTTAGAAGATGTTTGAGGGGGTAAAAAGTGCAAATAAAGAATCTTTTGTATTGAAAAAAAAAGTTTTACAATTATGAAAATTGTAAAAAAGTTTAATTAAAAGTAAAAATTAAAAACTGTAAAAACAAATTATTTAAATCGTAAAAAGTTTTAAAGTTTGAAATTAAGAATTACAATTACAACTTTTTAAGTTTCACAATTAAAGTTTTAAAGTTTTAAGTTTTTAAATTTTCAAGTTTTACAATCAAGTTTAATTAAGTTTTTAAGTTTTTACAACTTGTTTTACAATACTTTTAGAATTTTACAATTCAAGTTGCAGTTTTACAATTTCAATGTTTTACAAATTACATGTTTAATTAAAGTTTTACAATTTCTACTATAAAACTTTAAACTTTAAAACTTGGATTGTAAAACTTTAAATAGGATGTAATTGTAATCTTAAACAAACAATAATTCTTTTAAAGTTTTACAAATTGTAAAAAAGAATTATAAAAATGTTTTTACAACTACAAATTGTAAAAAGCCCTTTTTAATTCTACAATTAAGTTTTATTGTAAACTAACATTAATTCTTATTATAAATTAATTTTTGTTTTTCTTTTTTTAAATATTAATCCAAAAAATAATTTACCTAAATAAATTAATTTATATTGTTTCTATTTTTATTCATCTTTAACCTCAACGGAAATAGGTTCATTATCTTTCTTTTGATAAAATATTTTTGGATTTTTATTTTTGTCTTTTTCTCATTTCTTTTTTAATTAATTAATCTTTTAATTATAAGAAAACCGTATTTTTTTAATTAAAAAATAAACTCGAACAATACTTTTAAAGTTTTACAATTTAAGTTGCAATTTTACAATTTTAATGTTTTACCAATTAATAAATTTTAAAAACTTGTTTTTAAAAGTTTTAAAAATTACAAATTGTAAAAACTTTTAATGCTAAATAAGTTTTACAATTCAAGTTTAATTAAGTTTCACTAAGTTTTAAGTTGTAGAGATTTTCAAGTTTTACAATCTAAAGTTTTAAAACAAAGTTTAACAACTTACATATGTTTTCAATCTTAAGTTTTAAGACTTAAGTTTTACAATTTAAGTTTCACAACTTAAGTTTTAAAGTTTTAAATTTTACAATCTTAAGTTTTCTAATAATTTTTAAGTTTAATTACAATTTAGTTAAAACTTTAAAGCTCCTCAACACTCTTTATTTTTCTTTTCTTATTTAATTTTCTCAAAAACTTTCCCATTAATTAAACCTTTTTTAAAGTTTTAGAGAAAGAATAGTATTCTAATTCCAACTTGCAAGAGAAAAAGTTTTTAAAAAAAAGTTGGAATATAAACTAAAAGCATTTTAAGCTTATGTATGTCCCCCCCTCCAAACGTTCACCCTTTGCCATTAAAAATGGATCGAATTTCTTTTATTTTTTTTGCATTTTGGGATTCCAAGGCAACCAACGCCTATTATAAAAAAATTTTTTTCCCTCAATTATCTCAAAAAAATGTAAAAATTAATTTTAAATGAGAGATTTTTAATGATGAATATTAAAGGGAAAAGTTTCCTTTTTGACGTAAAAAATCCTTAATAACTTTGAAATAAACAAAGAATTAAAGGGAAATGACGAGACAATTTATTAAATAAATGTTTAGTTAATTGGCTTTGTTGAGTTTTTTTAATAATTTTTTCTTGGAAAAAAGAATATATTTATGCAATTTGTAAAAATAGGTTGTAAAAAAAATTAAGAGAAATGGAAAAGTAAATTAATTAATTACAATTGTAAAAAACATAAATAAAATAAAATTTATTTACAATTGTAAAACTAATAAGGAAAAGAATAAATTTGTAAAATAAATTGTAAACAGAAGTGATAGATTTTACAATTGTAAAATTCTTTTAGTTCTTTTTACAATTGTAAAACCTTACAAAAATGGTTTTACAAAACCCCTTAAAACCTTTTCTTTATAACCAAAAAATGAGGAATTTTATAATTGTAAATAAAGTTTATTTTAATTTAAGTAGGGTTTTACAATTGTAAAAAGAAATAAAATAATTTTACAATTGTAAAACTTTAAAGGATTTAATTGTAAAAAGTAAAAATAATTAGGTAAATCATTTTGGGGTTCAATGCAACCAACGCTTTTATTATAAAAAGTTTTACAATTGGAAAACCTTACAATTGTAAATAAAATTTATTAGCCTTACAACTCAATAAATTTAATCTTTTTTAAGGCTGTGATTTCGGTGAAGAACTCTGTGACCCAGGAGAGATATGCATTCCAGATGGTCTCTTCGGTCAGTGCTATTCTGACCCAGAAGCGGCTTTTGTACGGCCTTTGGTGCTTGAACGTTCTCTTACCGAAAAACAGGCTAAAATGCTTAGATCAGAATTAAGTGTTTTGGCTAAATTGGGGTTGGATTGGCCCCATGCCCGTTCTCAATGTGTTTTGGCTTATTTTAAATTGGCCGCAGCTTTTAGGTTGGAATACGACCCTGAATTTTGTGATGTGAGAGATCCTGCGAATATATGGGCTCTAGTACAGGTAGTAATTAATTTGTGGGGAAATTACAATTGTAAAACCTTGTAGTGCTTAAAAAGTTATAATAATAAATAAACCCGTTACAATTGTAAAAACTTAACATTTGATAAAGGTTCAAGTTTTACAATTGTAAAATTTGTAGTGATGGAAAAGAGAAAAAAAGTTTTATTAAAATAAGCATTTTACAAATTGTAATTACAAATTGTAAAAATTTTACAAATTGTAAAAACCTAAAATTTAATAAACTTGTTGTTTCAATCAAGTTTTACAATTATTATAATGTCGGTTACTGTAATGTTGGGAAAAAGTTTTACAATTGTAAAATGTTTATTTGTAACTACAAACACTCCTTAAACCATGAACATTATAATTATTAATAAACTTGGGTAATTGCAATTGTAAAGTGTTAATACAACTTATTAAGCTTTATCCCTCGTTTTTGTTTTTCTATCTATTTTATTTAAATAATTTCAGAGGGTTCAAAATTCATTGCTAGCTGAAGTTGAACAAGTTGAAGACGAAGAAGAAGAGAAAGAGAAACAATTGGAAGAAGCACAAATTGGAGACGAAGGACAATCATTGTTGACAGGGGTTAATGAAGAGGATGACGCGGATGAAGAAGAGAATGAGGTGGGGAAAGAGAGAGAGGAAGGAAGAGGAGAAGGGAGAGATGGAAATGAGGAAGAGAATCCTTCAGTAAAATTAGAATTTATTCCAGTCTTGTTGCTAGACCCTAACGAAGACAAAGATAAATTAAATGGTAAAAATGCCTATCAAATAGCAGAAGAAAAAGGGGAAGAAAAAGAAGATGAGGACGAAGAAAAAAATAAAGAGCCATCAAAATTAATTGAAAAAACCAAAAGAAACAATCAAGGGGAGACGTTAAATGCTCCAGAAAATGCCCAACTTGAACAAATTTTACAAAAACTGTTATTACAAAAGGAGGGGGAGGATGGAGAAAAGGAAGGGAAGGCGGTAAAGACCCTCTCTGATAAACAAATAACTAGACTTGTTAAATTTGTTAAACAATTGCAAAATTTGGTGGAGGAGGGAATTGAGAGAAGGGGTGAGTTGTTGGGAAAAATTTTTTTTAATTTTTCGAGGGATGGGACAATTTTTCAAAAAAATTTCAAAAAAAATTTTTCGAAAGGGCTAGAAAATTTATAAAATTTTTAAAAGGGTTAGAAAAATTTTTAAAAAATTTCAAAAAAATTTCGAAGGGTTAAGAAAATTTTAGAAAATTTTCAAGAAATTTTAAAAAATTTTTACAAAAATTTGAGGGGGTAAGAAAATTTTTTCTAAAAAATTTCGAGGGGTCTGGAAAAATCTTTAAAAAATTTTTTTTGGAATTTTTCTTGAAATTTTTTTTCAAAATTTTCAATTTTAGCAGAAGAGGAAGAAGAAAAACTCGTCAACTCCATGAAAAAAGGACAAGAGGAAGTAGAAAGTAAAGAGAATGAAGAAGAGGAAGAAGGGGTAGAGGAAGTAAACGATCTTTCCGGACGGCCAGTTTTGCTCCTCAAAAAGGACTCTGAACAATTTAACAATGCAGATATGGGTTTGGCACATACAGTCCACAAAATAGTAAAAGGAGGGATTCAACGGGTAGAAGGGAATCGAGTTTACCTTCGAGTGGCTAAAGAAAATTTGACTGAGGAAGAGCTTTACAAATTAATTGCTTATTTGGACAGAAAAATAGCAGCGCCAAATAATTTGTATTTTGATCAATTCCTCTACGAGGACGGCCAATTGTCCTTTCGAATTTCCAACCCTTCCTTGACTATGCAAAAACCGACTAAAGTTGATAGTGCTAGTGGTATTGCACAAGCTGTTTATAAAAGAAGAAAAGATATACAGGTGGGAAATAGTAGGGGATATAATGAGAGAAATTACAATTGTAAATTTTTACAATTGGAAAAGAGTGTAATGAGGGGAGAGGAAAATAGAGAAATAATTCAAGTTTTAATTGTAATTCAAGTTTAATTTAAAACTTGATTTTGTAATTGTAAAACTTGAGATTGTAATTCAAGTTTTATTAATTAAAGTTTTACAATTAAAACTTGGATTATTAATTTATTAATTGTAAAACCTGAATTTGTAATTGTAGTTCAAGTTTTATTAGTTCAAGTTTAATTTAAAACTTGATATTGTAATTCAAGTTGTAATTGCAATTCAAGTTTTATTTTTAAAGTTTTACAATTACAATAAAACTTGAATTATTCCTTTATTAATCGTAAAACTTGTAATTCAAGTTTTAATTGTAAATTTGATTTTGTAATTGTAAAACTTGTTCTAAAACTAAGAAAATAGTGTAGGGAGTGATGAGAGACAGCAGAAAAACAATAGAAGCAAATTAAAGCTGTAAAATTATGCTTAATAACTAAAAGTTTGACAGATACTCTCCTCTTTTTACACAGTCTTTTTAGTATAATTCATCACTTTATCTTAGGGATTTTTAATTTTTTAATCTGAATAATTTCTAATCATTTACCTTAATTTAGACACTTGCTGGTGTGCGCGTTGACGAAACTGGGATTGGAAGTGGAGAGGCAAGCCTAAACTTTGAGCAAAAACTCAATCAAAACCCCCTCATATTTTTAGGATGTCGTTCCAGTCGAACGTTCCCAACGTGATCAATTATTTATTCCAATCCTCGCCGTTTCTGCAATGACAATCTGTGCTTTACTCTCCGTCTTAGCGTCAACAATAATTCGGCGTCGACGAGATTCAAATAAAAAAATGTTGCCAATACTTCCACAGACTATAGGGCAAGACGACAAAATCTATGCAGAATTGTGCCGTCAACGGGCTGAGACAATCCCCCATTCGGTTGCTGTGATAGAAGGGAGTGGGCAACGTTCGAAGCATTCGAGTACTTCATCGTTCCACGAAAATGAGACTTTTGGGGCTTCGAATGGGTCTGATATGGACATCGGGACGGGGCACGTCCTCCTAGCTTTTTTACAAAAACATTTGGAGAATCCAAACGAGATAAACAAACAATGGGAATCTGTGAAGGATTATGAAGCATCGGAAGAGGTAGCCCAATGTAAGGTGGCCAAAAGAGAAGAAAATGTTGGGAAGAATTTTGATAGTGGAACGCTTCCATGTAAAAAACTGAATTTTATTTTGAAGCTTAGAGCCTTTTTAGATGATGAATCGCGTGTGCAACTTCATGAAAACGATTTGGCAGAATTGAGTGACGGGAAGGGATATATTAATGCTAGCATGATATTTGATTCGAACCCGGAACAGCCGGTAAATGAGGGGAATTTTGGGAGAATCTCCTGACTATCCCACTTGAAATTTCTTGACCTTTGACTTGTCCCGGCCTGGCTCAGTCTATGTAGGTTTCCATTTTCCCAACGCTCCCACATGTTCCTAGCTTTCAGTTAGCCCACCTAGGGATTGTTGGATAACCGGTAAATGGGGGGAATTTTTGGAGAATCTCTGACTTATCTCAGTTGATATTTCTTGTTTTCTGACCTATCCCATTGTATTTTAAACCTCTGACTTGCCTTACTTGGTATTTCTTTACCTCTGACTTATCCCAGCCTAGTTCAGTCTACGTTTCCAATTTCCCCAAAGCTCCCACATATCCCTCGCTTTCAGCTATCCCACCTAGTAAGTGTTGGGATAAATTGTCATCTTGTGGGATAGTAAAGAGATTCTGTCCAACTTTAAAATTTACTAAACTAAATTTTTTCTAGGCTTATATTGCCGCCCAAACACCTTTAGAACAAACAGCTTCTCAATTTTGGCAAATGATTTGGGAACAGGGGATTGGATTAATTGTCAATTTGTGTGATAAAGGGGACAATTACTTCAAGTATTGGCCAGAGGAGGGAGTGAAGCTGTTCGGCTGTTTTGAGGCCCATCTAGTCTCTGAACACATTTGGAGCGAGCATTACGTCATCCGCTCACTTTACCTAAAAAATACTGCAACACAAGAAACACGTACAGTTACACAATTCCATTTCACAAGTTGGGCAGCTGGTGGAGTTCCAGCTTCAAACAAAGCATTGCTTGAATTTAGAAGGTTACTATTTATTTTTTCGACAATAGAGGACGAAAGGGGTCTCGAAATTTCGTCTTTTCTCGAAACAAGTCAATAACTCGAAATTTCGCTTTTAGTTAAAACACGAAATTTCGTCTTTTCTCGAAACAAATGGAGATCTCGAAATTTCGGCTTCCAGTTAAAAACACGAAATTTCGTGATTCGATTTTTGTGGTTACGCATTTTTTTCACTCTAGTGTCTCCCTGATAGAAAATTAATTTTTAAATTCAGGAAGGTGAACAAATCTTATCGTGGGCGTGCTTCTCCTGTACTTGTTCACTGCACTAATGGTATAAAACGATTAAGAAATTAAAAAAATATTTTTTAAATTAAGGAAGTGGACGTACTGGAACGTATATTATGATTGACATGACTGCAAAACGGATTAATAAAGGCAAAATTTTAAATTAGAAACAAAGTGTCAGTAAAAAGGGGAATTTTGTGTTAACTCTCGAAAAAAAAATTTTTTTTAGTTAAGTGGATAAGAGCGCGGACTTTCCTTAAATTAGGGTCGGGGGTTCGAGTCCTTTTAGGGAAATTTGATAGGTTTTGATTAAGTAAATATTTTAAAACATGAAATAAACATTTAAATAATAAATAAAAATGTTTAAATGTTTTTTGAACGTCCTATAAAATGTTTAAGTCGAATAAAGATAGAAAAATCACGATTGCACGCAGTTATCCATCTATAACTTTTTATAGGGTGATTATATCAAATCAATCCTTTTAGCTAAAATAATCCTCACATTCAGAGCTTTCGTTTGATATAAAAATTATTTAAATCGGTTAAGGATCGAAAAAGTTATGGGCAAAAATAGGGCCTCGAGACTGAGACAGAGATATTGAATCCTATGCCTTTCCTTAATTTAAAAAATTTTTCTATTCAAAAAAAATTTTCTTATAAATTTCCAGGAGTAAAAGAACTAAACATCGCCGCATCTTTAGAACATTTGCGTGATCAACGAATGAAAATGGTTGAAAATGAACAACAATTTAAATGTGTATTTAGCTGTATAGCTGATGAAATTTCTTTGTTATTAAAAGGAATTCAACATTGAAACGAAAAAAAAATTTTTAAAGGAGAAAATGAGAGAGAAAAGAAAGGCAACAAAAAAATTGACAAAAAAAATTAAAAAATATTTTTTAAATTAATTATACTTCCCCCAGACCCCCCCCCCCCCCTTTTGCTTATATTTGCATAAAAAGAGATGTGTGTGTTTGTGTTGCTTTTTGCAAAAAATAAAAATATATTAAAATTATAAATTTAAAATAAATTTTTGACAAGCTTTTTTTTGTTTTTATAAAAGTTGATTAAAAGGTTTCCCAATATTCAAGCCCGCGGTAATAATTCCTTAGATGTAAATAATAATAAGACTTTCTCCTTTTCTCAATTTCACTCCATTTCTCCGTGGCAATGTTTATCCGCAAATTTGTTTCGATTTCTGGACATTTGATTTGTTAGGTAGAGATCGAGCTGGGCCTGGACCAAGGCCTGGGTTTTTCCTGTACCCGGAGTCCAGGCCCAGGCATTTTTTACCTTCCTGGGGTTTTCCTGGACTACAGTCTCAGGATCCGGCCCAGAGAAATAAATCAAACGAAATAAATCAAACTCAGAGTCCAGGAACAGGCACAGGCTTTTCAAAAAATCTCGAGCTCTATTCGGTAGGTAAATGCATTTTCCGCAAATTTGTAAGATGTCCGCAAATATATTTGCGGACTCCGCAAATTTTTACAAAATTCTGGTGAAGATACCTTTACGTTTTTTAAAAGGAATTTTTGTTTTTTAAATGATTAACAGAAAAAAACTTTTTCTTTTTTACTATGAATAATCGGCTGAGTGAATTTTAAAATGAGGAGAGAGAGAAAATCATTTTCTACACAAAATGAAGAAGAAAAATATTAATATTTTTGCTAAAAAAGAATTAAAAAATTTGAGGAGAAAGCTTCCAAGTTTGCCTAGAATTAGAAGAACTGTTCGACAATTTCGATTTCGGAAAGAGAAAAAGTAAGTCTCTTTAAAAAAATTTATAGGGTAAAAGGGAAACGGCCTCTGGGGGAGACTCAAACGTCCCCTTATTCGATAAATACAAAAAAGGGCCAATTAGGCGCGCGGCCATAATGGCGCAGAGCCATAACTTGCTTCAAGATTTTCTAATCTTACCAAATTTGTTATTAAACGATTCCTCTCATCGAGCTAAAGAGATTGGTACCAAAATTGATAAGGTCCGGAAATTTCCTAGCAAGTTATAGCTTTGCGCCGTTATGGCTGCGCGCCTATTTGGGTTGTGCCCATGCAAAATGCCCCATTTAATCGCGGCAAGTAGGAGTCGTCTAAAGGGGGTTTGATCTTGTTTTTCTTATTAAAATTGGGTAGTCTTTTGTTTTTTTTGTATAAAGGACTTTAACGTTAATTGGAAATGAAAAAGGAGGCCTTATTTAAACAAAAATGCGACGCTTAAAAGCCTCCTCTGTCAGATAAATGAGTATAAACCCCATTTAATCGTAACGATTAGTAGTTGCTTAAAAGGATGTTTTTTCCTCTTTTATTGGTGAAATTGCTAGGTTTTTTGTTATTTTTGGAAAATTAAGCTTCATCACTACCAATTGAAGACAAAAAATTAAATTTAAAAAATTTATTTTGAGCAAAAAGAAATTCTAAAATTCAGGTCTGCGATTAAATGGCCTTGCGATTAAGTGGACTAATTTAATTTTTAAAGATTATCGGAAATTTTTTTTTATTTTTTCTAAATTTTTTACCAGAATGTTTACTTAAAAGCTCCCTTAATTTAAGCCTCAACAACAACTCTACAGCAATGGCCTTACGCGGTATCCGCGTTTATGGTTCTTCCTCTTCTACCCAAAATTCAAGCGAATATTCTGTTTTGTTGGAAGCTACTTTAAATGAAAAATATATTTTGTGTCAATCTGGGGGAATGGATGAAGTAAGTAGAGAATTGGCTAATTTATTAAAATCTGGGGGAAGTTATCAAATGATTTTGGATGGGTTTGCTTCTCTTGGAATTTTGCAGTTGGGAGGAGGTTTGTTGGAAGATTTTTAAAATTATTTGGCCATTCTTGAGTCTCTGTTTTTGGGGCAGATCTCTTTCATAGAATGAATGTCACAGTTTGAGATCGGCCCGGGTCTGGAACAAAGCCTGGGTTCTTCTGTACCCAGAGTCCAGGCCCAGACATTTTTGACCTTCCTGGGTTTCTTTTGGGCCTGGGATTTCCTGGACTACAGGCCCAGAATCCAACCCAGGTCAATAAAATTTAACACAAAGTCCAGGAACAGCCCCAGGCTTTTCAAAAATCTCGATATCTATTAGGAAGTGATGTTATTGAAAAAAAAGTTGGGCCGTGTTTTTAAAAAATTCTCGGGTTGGGTTTCGGGTCTAAATTTGTTCTCTAACCCGCCTAGCCCTGTTTTGTGTCGCATTAAGCCTCCTACACAAAAGCAGGGACATTTAAAACTTTAAAAATTTTTTAGGAGATGATTATCTTGTATTAATAACTGGTGTACTTTCTGTTGGGCAAATTTATACTTCTGACATTGTTTGTTTTTTCATTTTTTGTTTAATTTTTCTTTTTCTAGTTTAAAATTTCCAACGTTAAATTTGTTTCACTTATTCGAAAAGAATCTGAGCCGTCTGATCAGAGAATTATAGAGGTTATTTTTGAACTTTTCTTTTTTCCCTCTCCCAGAATTCCTCTATATTTACCGCCTAACAATGAGTCTAGTAACCAAGAAAACCTTACTGCTTTTTTCGTCCTCCCCTTATCAATTTTTTATTTAATTTGTACAAAATGGTCAGAAGCGATAGAGTTCCGATTGACCTAGGCCGGATCCCGGGCCTGTAGTCCAAGAAAAACCCAGAAAGATCAAAAAATGCCTGGGCTCTGGGTACAGCAAAACTCCAGGACTTGTTCCAGACCCACCTCGACACCTAATATTGTCATAATTACTTATCACTATAGTTCCTTCTTGGTTAATTTTGTTCCAGTGGAGAGGAATTCTGGGCGAGATGTGAAAAGTTTGTCTGATAATCGACAATTTTACCTTGATTTTTGACTAAGTTTCCCCTTTTAAGCTTCAAAGGTTTCTCTCTTCTGGAAACTTTTATTTTTCAAATTCAACGGTTCGGGATAAAACGTTCGATTTAACTGTGTCAGCTCAAAGAAAACAGACGAGTGAGCAAATGGAAGATGATTTTCGGTTTTTCTGGTTATTTTTTTTAATTTTGTACAAAAAATAAGTCGGCCGAATAAATTAGCCTAAAAATTAAACTTCGTAAATTTTGTCCGCAAAATATTTGCGGACACTTGTAAGAAAGAATGTTTTTAGCTTTTAGTGCCTACTGAATCGACCCCTTGATTACTAATTAGTGATGGTCGGGATTCCCGGTCTCGGTTCCCGAGTCGGGAAATTTCCCGGGTTTTTTGAGCTCTCGGTCTCGGTCTCGGTGTTTTAGTCTCGGAAAACGAGACTAAATTTACACCCCTAATGACGGAAATTTTTTGAATTTTACTTGTACCTGGTGTACTTTGACATTAAATTTTTTTAAGGAAAAGGGAAAGAAATATCTATATTTTCTACCTTTTTCTTTTGTTGTTCGATGGTTGAATGGTTAGTGTGACTGACTTCAATCACTTAGTTATTTTGTTAGGTCTGGGTTCGGATCCAGGGGTGGCAGTGAGGCTAAAAGTTTTTATTTTAAAAAATATATGTCTTTTAACTTTGATTTTGATTATAAATTATTTTTTTTTAATATTCTAAACTTGAAAAGACATTAAAATTTTAATTTAATCATGAATTTCCAAAATTTTAGCATGAGGCGCCTAAATTCTCATATACATTCTCACTTGCGGCGCAAAAATGGGAGAAATCTGGCTTCATGACCTCCAAAATTCTCAAAATTTTCGCCTGCGGCGCAGAAAACGAATGAAATTGGAGGATTTATGGCTTAAAACCATAAAAAATACAAGAATTATCGTATACCGTCATAAATATTAGGGGTATCAATGGACTTGTCGGATATCGGAGCTTATGGGGATTTGAAAGGGTATAGAGGTGGATTAAAGTTAAGGGGGATATCTGGAGATTTGAAAGATTAAAGTAAACATAAAGGAACTTGTGAGAGGCATCGAGGTATAAAGAAGATATCGTTCGATTTGGAGGGATATCGAGGGAAATAAGGGGATTCTAAGCGATTAATGTGAATATCAGTGGATTAAGGTGGATATCGGTAGATTTAGGAGGAGTAAAGTTATATTGTGGATGTGGGGATTCAAGGGATTTGAGGGATTATGAAGGATATATAGGGATATAGGATTATAAAGGATATATAGGGGTATATCAAGTGATATCCCTCCTAATCTCTTGGTCTCGACTCTCGGTCTCGACTCTCGGTCTCGACCCGGGACTCGGTCTCGGGGTTGATTCCCGGTCTCGGTCTCGGTTCCCGACTCTCGGCTTTTTTTAACTCCCGACCATCACTATTGATTACGCCCTTTGGGTTATCATTCCCTGTCGCGCTAACTCAAGGAACGACAAATCAAGGAACAGATAAGTCAAAGAACAACCAAATCATGGAATAATTTAAAAATCAGAATAATTTTTTTAATTCTGTTTTTTGAAGTATTCTTATTTTTTTTAATTTCTTATTTTTCAAAAAAATTCTGATTTTTAAAATATTCCATAAGTTGGTCATTCCTTGACTTGTCCTTTCCTTAATTTGTTGTTTTTTGAGTTAGCCTCCACCTCATCATTCATACTTTTTCTAATCATTGATATAATAAGTATTTTTGCGGACTGTACGCAATCTTTTGCAGATCGTCCGCAAATATACAAAAAATTTTAGGAACAGAAATTTGTCATTTCCATTGGAAAGATTTGGAATAGACCCAACCGATTGGATTGTTCGTTGTTTATGCGGTTCTGTTTTAATTAGAACAATTTATTTGGGACATAGAACTGCAAAGGTTTTTTTAATTTTTTAATTTTTTTTATTCTAAAAATTTTTTTAAAGATTATGCTTATATCGAGACTAAGTTTTGAACATGTCGGAACTCGTTTTAATGTTAGAGGAATTAATGTGAGGTTTTTAAAAATTATTTTTGAACTAGGGAACTTTTCGCCCTTCGATTTTTAATTTTCTTTAGGATGATGGAAACGTTGCCAATTTTGTGGAAACAGAACAGGTATATAAAATTTCTGTTAAACTTCATTATGAGATACATTTATGAGAGGAACTTCAACAACATTTTTTAAAAATTTTTTTGGCTGCGTGCCTATCAGGGAGTCCTACCGTCCCGATTCCCGAAAGTTGGGAATTTCCAACGTTTTTTTTTTGGGTCGAGATCCTTCTTGAAATAGGGAATTTTGGTTTTCTTGTCGGCAGGATCCCAGGTGCTTAAATATGTAAGTGATGGTGCGATTACCCGAAACCCAATCTTTTTCGACCCAAACCCCGACCTAAGGAATTTTCCAACCCTGACCCGACTTTTTTCTCAACCTGCCTCGTCCCTGGCCTACACCATAATATTTTTCTATTACTCCTGGTTATTAAAAATTTTATCGAATATTTTTTCAGATTGTTACTTTTGATAAACAAGAATGTTCGTTTCTTCAAATTAGAGGATCGGTAGGGGGTTTTTTCGAAAAATTTTAAAAAATTTTTAACAGATTCCCCTATTTTGGGAACAACCAGGAATTAATGTGGGTGCACACACTGTGAAAATGAAGCCTTTGGAACTTTCATTGGTTGCGCTAGAAAAGTATTTTTTGAATTTATTTATTGTGAAAGGGGTCCTCAAAATTTTTTTATTGGGTACTTTTAAATTGCCAAAAAAATTCAAACAGATTTCAAAATCATTTTTGGAGTTTTTTTGTCTTTTTTTCATGCCCGAATTTTTCTTTACACTCCCTTTGCTTTTTAATTTTCGGGTATCCATATCTCGGTCCACCGACATTTCCTCTCCATCTCTTCTGTCCAATCTTACAAGGGGAACTGATTCCTGTGCATTTTTTCTTTTGAATGATACCAAGGAAAGGGGGTTTTTTATATAGAAAAATGGGGAGAGAGACCTTTACTCCTTTACTGTTTAAACATTTTTAAATGTTGCTGAATGATTCATTCTTCCTTACAAAAAAATTTACCATTAAAAAATATAGGTAATTCTTTTGTATTTTTTCAGACATTTTATCCAATTAAAACGTGTTTATGGCAAAATTTTGGTTGTTAATTTGCTTGGATCAAAGAAGGGTGAATTTGCATTGTCGACAGCATTTCAAGTTTTTATTTTTAATTTAAAAAAATGAAAAAAAATTTTTCAAGTCAGCATTAAAATCTTCTTCCCATTTTGATGTAAAAATTGTTTCATTTGATTACCATGCAGAGGTTAAACAATCTAAAGAAAATTTGAGATTTTTGGTTAAACAAATAAGTTCTTTTTTTGATGAAAATGATTTCTTTTATTTGGATGATGGAATTGTTTTGAGGTTTTTTTTAAATTTTTAAAAATAATTTTTGAAGGGGGCTAAATTTAGGGGGTATTAGACTTTCGCTCAAAGACACGGCCAAACTCAACTTTTTTATTAAAAAAAATTTACAATGAGAACTCCAAATAACACTAAAAACCTTAAAAAAGATCCTTGAAACATTTTTTGAAAAAAGTCTAAAAATAATTGCTTCGAATGGGTTTGAACCCATGATCCTCTAAATTGACTGAAAATGTTTTTGTGTCCGTGTAAACAAAATATTGACCTCAATAAGGTAATATAATAAATAGGGCTGTCCATGACCGTTTAATTTTTATCTATAGAGACCCCTTATATCCTCAAAAAATTTTCCGTTTGATCCGCCATAGGAGGGTCAAACGGTCTCAGGAACACCCCTTATATGTATGTATTAACTGAAAAGAATGGGAGACGGCACAAATTTTTTATAGTTTTTTTTTCTGGCTCCTCTATTTTCTACATTTTTTTAAAGATGATAAAAAATTTTTTTAATTTTTAGAAGACAACACGGAGTAATTAGGACCAATTGTCTTGATAATCTTGACAGGACAAATAGTGTACAGACGGTTTTTTTAATAATTTTTCTAATTTTTTTTTAAATTTTCCCTTTTAAGTTAATCGGAATCAGAGCACTTTTCAATCAATTAACTTGCCTTGGTGTAGAAAAATTTAAATCTAATATAATTTTGAGATGTGAAGAATTAGTTAGGGATATGTGGCAAAAGAATGGGGATCAATGCAGTTTAATTTATGCTGGAACGGGGGCTTTGGAAGGAAAATCGAAGGTTTTTTTTCTTTTTTAAATTGAAATGGGTTACTTGAGAGAGTGTAAGGGAGAAGTTTTCCAAAATTTGCCTGGGACGCTAAAAAAATAGAAAATATGCATACAAAAATAGTTGCGTTCGAACGTAAAAGTAAACGCGGTCGAGTGTTTGGCACCTCCCTATTATAGCTCTTCTTGAAATCCGACCGACCCCTGGATACCAGGAAAGTGCGAGTTTCGTCTTTCCCCGATTTTCGCTTTTTTTGACGTTCGTCTTTTGTTTTTTAAAATCACTTTCGGCATCCCTGCTGGATACGCTTTTGTTACTCGACTATCATTTACTTGTCCATGGTTAAACTTTTACCCTTGATTTTTACTAGAGAATGATTTTTTTGAGTTTTTTTTTGTAGGTAAGAAAAAGAATTTTTTGAAAAATTCTTTTATAGACAAACACAAAAGCCCTTTTTAAGTTGAGAGATGCAAGTCGTTCAATAGTTCGAACAATTCAAAATAATTTGATGGATTCTTCAAAACAAGAAGCTTTTGATTTGATTTTGTATGGACATTTACTTGCTGATTCTAATTTTGTTAAAATTTCACAAATTTTTCCTTCTTCGTTATTGAAAGGTTTTTTTTAATTTTTTTGGTACTTTGTTCATATTCCACCCATTCCATCCGAAAGTCGAGTCAGGCATATGTTAAATGTCTCGAAAAAAACTCGTATCGCTCGGTCCGACTCGATAACGTAGATCCTATTTATGAAGGAAAAAATTTCAGCAACGACAAAAATCAAAAATTATTAGAGAAAAGACACCATTCTGAGTCAGATAAAATTCAAATAGGAAAGGAGGGACTGTCGATTAGAGTTTCACCGGAATTTCCGATCCTTGGATCCGGAACTCAAATTGGATCCGGTTCCGGTCAAAATTTCGGTTCCGGTGAAACAGTGTCGATACAAGGATATCAGGGTTGAGAAAATAAAGTGGGGTCGGTTTTGAACATTTAGCTCTAGCCTGTATTCGGGTAACCCGATGACATTTCTGGTGGATATGAACAAAGTGTGCCAAGTTTTTGAAATTTGAATTAAAAAATTTTTTTTAATTTCAGCCACTTCCTATTTTTACGGTTTTTTTAAAATTTTATTTTTAAAAAATTAATTTTTTAAATTTAACTAGAATGCCCAAATTTGGAAGCTTTTGTTGAAAGAGAAAAAGAATTTTGTGTTCAAGTACCTTTAAAAATTTTTTGTGGAACTTGGAATGTTAATGGAGGGAAGAATTTGAATAATGTTGCTTTTAAAGGGGGAAATTTGCTAAATTCCTGGATTTTTCCTGAAAATTTGTGTAAGGAGGTTTTTTTGATTTTTTTGGGTTTTTAAGAAAAGGATTCAGATAAAATAAAATTGCAAGGGAATTTTAAGGGGGTTTTTGTTGTGAGTTTTTCTTTTTTTACCTCTTCATTAAATCAGTCAAAAATTATTAATTTTTTGGATATACATATAAACAAGTTGTGAAAAGCGTCAGTTTTTGATTGTCATGAAAAAAATTTGAGTTTCAGATTTTTTGTCATAAATGTGGATAGTATTGGGGCTGTCGGTTCAGATTAAACAGGCTAATCGAGGATTTTTTAAATTCGATTCTTTATTTCCAAAAATTTTTTCAAGAATCAAAAACCAAATCCTTTTAAAACAACTACTCAAAATTAAAAACATTTTTGACTGATTTTAGTTGCAAGGGGCAAGGGTGGGGAATAAGGAGGAAGAAAATGAAAAAAATGGGGTCTCTAAAGTTTAAAAAATTTCCCTTAAAAATTCTGCACTCACAAAAAAAATTTTTTTTTCTTTTTTAGTTAATAAAGACGCCTTAAATTATGATTTAATAGCAATTGGTTTTGAAGAAATTGTTGATTTAAATACAAATAATTTGGTTAAAGCAAGCACTACAAATCAAAGAATATGGCGGGATGGATTGAAACAAACTATTGAAATTTGGCAAAAAAATAATTTTGGACAAAATGCTGAAAATTTTGTTGTTTTGTGTTGTGAACAATTGGTAAGGTTTGTTGGGGGGGGGGGGGGATTTTTTGCTTAATTAAAAAAATTTTTTTTGATTTTTGGAAATGATTGACGAAAGGGGTTTTTCGGATTTCTAATTTCTGCCTCTCCCACCTTTTCGTTTTCCAAAAATTTCCAAATTTTTTTTTGCTGTGTTCCGATACCTCGAAAACGCCAATTGCTTAAAATCCTTAAAATAAAAAAGAGAAAAAATATCTAACTTCTTGACCTTCCAAAAGGTTCCCTTGGTACTCTTGTGTTATCCCCCTCCCCCTCACGCAAGCGCAACATAGCTTTTCCGTCGTCGGTCATTCCAATAGAGTCAGTCCGCAAGTGCAATTTACGTAATCCGCAGTCCGAAATTACAAACTGCCCTGGTTGGGAACTTTCTTGGTTTTTTTTCTATAAGGAAGAATCTTGTCTTATGAAATTATTTATTTTGTCTTTGCCATAGATGCCAAACAAAAATTTTTATATAGGCCCTAAAAGTAACCTTGAAAAACAAAAAAATAGAATTCATTAATAATAAATTGAATTTTGCCGGCTAAATTGAATTTTGCCTAAATTATTTTTAATCTCTTTATGTATGTTTTAGGTGGGTGTCTGTTTAATCCTTTTTGCTCGTTCCTCCCTTTTAAATTCAATAAAAGATTTGGCTATAGAAGAAATTAAAACTGGAATGGGGGGAACAACAGGAAATAAAGGCTCTATAGCTGTCCGTTTAACAATAAATTCAACTGGAATTTGTTTTGCTTGTTCCCATTTTGCTGCTGGACAAAATGAAATTGCTGCAAGAAATGCTGATTTTCATTCGGCTTTGAAAAGATTAAAATTTCCTATGGTAAATTTTAATTAAAAAAGATTTTTTTAATTGGAAACATTCCCTTATACCTTTGGAGTCTTATAGTGATTGTATTTAGTATTAAGGGTACCTTAGTGAGGGATATTATATAGAGAGTTATCGCATATAAAGATTATCCTGCACCAGAAGACCTTTTAAAAGATCGCTTTAATTAGAGTTTTTTAAATGTTACAAGTGAATTTTCCAAGGTTTAGTGGGTTAATGTTTTGTTTTGTTACAAGAAAGTTCGTTTTAAAGGGAACGAGAACCAATTCTTTGATTAGACAGTGATGAAAGACTGGAACCTAAAAAAAATTTGAGGAATCTTATTTTCCAGTCTCTGCTGCCATCCTTCTGAGTCTGATCTCTTCTCAATTTTTTTTTAAAATTTGGTCTCAACACCAAATAGGGCCCCTAGCCTCACATCAGTATTGGAAACCGATTTTGGTCTAGTTTATATGAGTTTATTGGGGACCCGGTTGTTGTTTGTTTAAAAATTTCAATAGACTTCCGATTTGTCCGTAAATTTTGCTCATCCTTTCTGTCCAAAATTAAATTAATAAAAAATATATTTAAAGGGTCGAGGCTTACAAGATCACGATGTTGTTTTTTGGTTGGGTGATTTTAATTATCGAATATCTCTTTCGGGTAAATTTAAAAGAAATTTTTTGAAGGGTTTTTAATTAAATATATTAAAAGGTGATGAAGTAAAAAGAGCAATTAATTTAAACAATTTTGAATATATTGCTGAATATGACCAATTGTTACAACAAAAAAATATGGGAAATGTGAGTAGAAAATTTTTGAGAATTTTTTTTGAAAATTTTCGGCTCTTGTTTAGGTATCCAATCCACAGGGAGGATTGCCAAAAATTCGGCGCCGAAAATGATTCCCTCCTATGTCCCCTCCCACACCCAAAAATTTTTTTTGGTTACGGCTCTATCCCAATCACTTCTTTATACCAGTGTGGGGTTTCCTATATTTTAGAACGGAACTGGAAGAACAAAAAAAAGACGGACGGAAGACGTTCTTAACTCGAAGAGGTTAATATTTGTCGGTATAAGTTGGACACATAAAATTTTAATTGAACATATAAGCTTTGATTGGATTTGTGATTGACACCTAATCTGGATAAGAGCCAAAAATTAAATTTTTTTTTTGAAAAATTTTTTTGTTTCCAAAAAATTTCCTAAAACTCCCTTTCTTTAGGTTTTTACAAATTTCAATGAAGGCCAACTTAATTTTCCTCCAACTTATAAATATGATACTTTTAGTGATGATTATGATACTTCAGATAAATGCAGGCAAGGACTTTAAAAAAATTTTTTAATTAAAAAAAAATTTTTTTTGTAGAACCCCAGCATGGACAGATCGTGTTCTTTGGATGGATAAAAATAATTTGGTGCAGTTAATTCAGTTAGTCTATTTATTATTTTAAAGGGAATTTTGGTGTTTTGGTCGGGGACTGAGAATTTTTAATTTTTTGACCCGTATGAAACCTGACTTTTTGTTATCTCAATTAATTTTTCAATTTTTAAGCTTATTTTTGGGGACCAAGATTTGGCTGATATCGATACCCCTTCTAGTGTCTGTGAGATTTAAAACTAAAAAAATTTTAAATCCGATTTTTTGGGATTTTTGTCCATAACAAGGGACCATCGGTTTCTGTTTACAAAAATTTGATATATTTTTTTGGCACCAATCGAAATGGTCCCTAGACTCCCTATAGAGAAGTCATGCCCATTTTTTCCTAAATGAATTTTGTGCCGAGTTATGGCCAGTCAAATTTTGGTTTTTTTGGGAGGGTTCTGGGGAGGAAAAGAGGGGAAAATTAAATATTAAAAAAAATTTTTTTTCTTTTTCAGTTATGGCCGTTCAGAATTAAAAACTTCAGATCACCGTCCAGTTTATGCAATATTTCAATTAAATTCATTAAAATTTGATTTCGACAAGGCTGAGCCGATAATTCGGGATATTATTTGGTTTTTTTTGGAAAATTTTTGAAAAAATTTTTTTGAAAAATTTTTTTCTCAAGTTCTATTGGCCCTCCACATTCTTGTGTTCAATGCTTTATTTCTAACAATTCTCTTAATGTGTTCCCAAAACAACTGTGCAATGAAATTTTTATGAAGCTTTGTGAACTTGGCAGTGTTCCTAAACTTTCCAAGTATTTTTTATTATTTTTTTTTTGTTAATTTTTGTAGGAAAATATTTAAAATTGAGGTTCTGAAGGAATTCTTAATGTCCGCAAAAATTGTCCGCAAATTTTATTTTTTGGATTCGTAAAATATTTTTTTGACAATTCAAAAGCTGGGTTCAGAATTTGGGGCAGAATTAGGCACTTTTTGAGAATTTTCTGAGTTTTTTTTCACTAGTATGGGGTTTTTTGAATTTTTGGTCCGAAATGCGATACATGTCGGTGAATTAAGTTTATAAACTAGGCCTATACGCAGATTTTTAAAATCATGATTTTTGTGAAAATCATGATTTTAAGGCTATTTTTGTCTCCACTTCTTTGGAAGTGGAGATTTTCTATTTGCGGATAAAATTTTAATCCGCAAAATTTGTCCGCAAAAATTTTTTTTTAATTTTTTTAGATTAGAAGGCCAATATTTATTTATCATTTTCAAAACTGGATTAGATGCTTTAGCAGCATTAAGTATGGATGGAATAATTTTATCAACAGGGCAGGAATTGAAAGTTGAGCTTAAAAATGAAGGAAAAGGGGAAGGAGGGGGAAGGGGAATTGAATGGTCTGAAAAAATTATTAAAAATGTAATTAAAGCTTTGGAAAAATCAAAAAAGGAAGAAAAAGAATATTTAATTAGTAAAAAAATAAATAATAATAATAAATTGTTGGATGGAGAAGAAATTTTAATTGATGATGAGGATGTAGATGATTTGGCTGGTGAAGTTTTCTATTTTTTTATTTTTTTTGAAATTTTTTGGGAGGGAAATCTTTGGTGTTAGTTGAACCTAAAACCTTAAAATTAATTTCTAAGGGATGATGATACCGATACCGGCTCGGTATTGATAACGGTCGGTACCGGTATCGGGATTTACTTTTCGGTATCGGTATCAGAAAAATCGTTATCGGGATTCAAAAAACCTGTATAAGACGCCTGATGCCGGTCGGGATCCCGATACCGCTCAACCCTAGTCTAATTATTAATTAAAAAATAGATGGGGATGATGGAATTGTTAGCAATCAACAACAACGTTCTAGAGGAGTAACACCAATATTTGATCAATCTGTTGAAAACGATTTCTCTTTAATTAACATTTCGGATGTGCCGAAATGAGGAAAAACTGTTTCTGCACGACTTTAAAAAATATTTTTTTTACTTAAAAAATATTGCTAAATTTATTACAAATTTTTAAAAGTTTGAAGAATGGACGTGAAATTTACACAATTTTATTTTTCCCCCTATTAGGGTTGGGGGCCCGATCCGGCCCGGTTCGTAAGATCGAGTCGGGCATTGAATTTTGGTCCGAAGAAGACTCGGTCGGGCCAGCCCGATAGAACTGAGGCCAGAAAAAAAAGACTCGAATATCGGCTCGGCTTGAAAACCCCAACCCTACCCATAATTTTATTATTTTAATCTTTACAATTTTGCAGCCTTTTCTCGAGGGTAGGGTATTTGGTGTAGTTGGAAAAGTTTTGGTTTTCATCGTGAAAGTGTTTGGGGTTCGAATCCTTTTGATGGAAATATTTTTTATTTTGGTCTAGAATGGGTGTTTAAAGCTTTATTGTTAGAAAAAAATTTTTGAAAAATTTTTAGAAAATTTCAAAAAAATTTTTTGAACAAATTTTCGAGTGAAAGGCTGCAAAATTAAATTTTTAGTGTAAAAATAAAGGTACTTATAGTAGTAGTCCCAATATATTATTAATAAATATATAAATTAAATATTTCAACACCCGATGATGATCTCTTTATTGGACTCTTTTTTACATTCCAAAAATATTTTAAAATAAAATTTGAAAAAATTTTTTGAATTTGCTTATTTGTTTTTCTAAAAGCTTTTGTTATTTTTTTATTTTTTGGTACTTTTGGGTTATCCCTACAGACTTTTTTGCGGACACAATTGTACGGAATGGCTATTTTCTCCTCCCTCTCTCCTATGCACTTGTCAATCAATCAAACAAGATTATAAATGGAGTACAATTGTGTCCGCAAAAAAAAGTCCGCAAAATAAGTCCGCAAAAAAAGTCCGCAAAATAAGTCCGCAAAAATTGTCCGCAAAAAAGCCTAAGGATAACCCACAAGTACCATTTTTCTTAAATTTTAAAAAAAAATTTTTTCAGTTTATTTATTTAAAATGCCTAGGTAGCTTTTGGCCTTTATTTTGATTGTGATGTCTTTTTTAATCAATTTTGTCTTTCTTCTATTTTGTCAACTGCCATTTATTCATCTCTTCAATTTGGACACAGAATATCCTATTTATAAATTTGGTTCGCCTAATTCATGGTTTGGATTTTCTGTAGCTGCTCATTTTCGGAGTGATGGTCCGAGGTTTGTTTAGTTTTTTTTTAAATATTTTTTTAATTAAATGTGAGAGTGGTTGTCGGTTCTTTTCCCTTATGCTTCCAAGAAATTTAATTTTTATTCACAACTCTGATTTTATTTAGGGACCCTTGTCTATTTAAAATTGGGCAAAATTGTTCGATAGATAAGAACTCTAGACAAATAAAAAAAAAATGGAGAATGTTATTCAGAACTAACTCTAGGCGTACTAAATCCTTTAACAATAAGCTTTTTTCCATACTTTCCTTTGAATTTTATAGTTACTTTAGATTTTCACATTTTCCATTAATTTTATTTGCTGACAAGACTTGCGGACTTTTTTGGGTTCAAATTATGGATGGCCGGGTTAATTAAAAAGTCGAGTCGGGTTTCTTCGGTTTTCAAAATTTTCTTCTGATCGAATTTCGGGTCAAAAAATGGTTCCTTTGGTTTTTACAGACGGCCTTCTAGGCGGGAACTTGCTTAGTTTTCCATTAATTTCACTAAATAAAATTTTGCGGACAAAACTTGCGGACTTTAGAAACATAACGGAAAGCATTCAATTTTTCAGCATCCTTGTCGGCGCTCCAAAATGGACTTCAGGTCAACCAGGAACTTTAAAATCTGGAGCAGTCTATGCCTGCAAACCAGACTCTTCCAATGGAAATCAATGCCAACTTCTTTCAATTGAGTACCTAAATTTGCAAGATGCCAAAAAACCTCCAAATTTGTTGCATGGTAAACATTTACACCCTGAAGGGAAGAATGGACAATTGTTGGGATTTTCTGTCTATAGTAGTGGAATGAGGGAAGAGGAAAGCAGTAAAGCTTTGGTTTGTGCCCCCCTTTTGCGGTGGGGGCAAAATGCTTATACTGACGGTTTGTTAAATTTTTTATGGGGGTTTTATGGGTTTCTTCATCTTTAATGGGTTTCTTTCCAATTATTTTCTTTCCAAAAAATCTATTTTTTAATTACGCAAAAATTTAATACGCAAATTCTGTCCGCAAAAATTATTCACATAAAAATCTCAATTTTTTACAAAAGGCATTTTAGCAAAATTTATTCTCTCACAAAATCGGAGAATTTTGAGAGTTTTTTTTGTAAATTCCCTGTCCCTTCCCCTTTCATCTAACTAACAATAGGAAAAAATATATTTCTGTAAAATTTTCTTTCGACTTACTCCCTGACCCATTAAGATACATATTTCATAGTGAACTATGCCGAATTAATAAATGAAAATCGATGGTTTAACGTCCCGAAAATTCTAGGTTTTAAAAAGCTGCTCCTTTTACGTTGATTTTTCCCATAATTTGATTTGCGGACAAAATTTGCGGATTTTCCGCAAATTTTAAATTTTTTTTTTATTTTAATTCAAAGCATTTCTGACTTGAAAAATATGACTTTTTTAAAATTATATTTAGGTGTTTGTTACTTACTTGGAGCCGACTTGAACCATAAGGGAATAATCAATACATGCGGGCCTTTGCCGAAGAAAGACAGGGTAAAAAAAATTTTTCAAATTTTTTTTTCTAAAATTTTCTTTTTAAGCATAATGACTATGGATCGTGTGAACAAGGCTTTTCAGCATTTATAGACTCAAATGTTACTCTTACAGGAATTCCTGGTGCAAGAAAATGGACGGGAGGAGTTTTTGGTTTTTTTTTCTTTTAAAATTTTCAAAATTAATAATTTCTAGCAAAATACGATTTTGTTGGGTCTGGAGGTTTTGTGGACTCTGTGGACCGTCGAACAATGGAATTAGATAAAAATCAGGGAGGTGTGCTTGCATTGTTGGCTTCACACGATTATTTGGGATATTCTGTCCATTATGGGCGGTTTGGGTTTTCTCATGAAGACGAAAAGAATTTTACGGTTCGAAATTTTTGAAAAGATTTTAGAGATATTTTGGACATGAAAAATTTAATTTTTGACTGCTACTCTTCGAAAATCTAAGAATAATCCTAGCTAGGCCAGAGTGACACTTTGTCCCATTTTTAATTTTTCCTCTCTACTCGACAGAGAAATCTCATATCTAGTTGTTTTTGATATCTTTCGATTCTTCGATGGCAGACAAATCGAATGATACCAAAACTGACTCGATCTGAGTTTGTTCAGTAAAATTATAAGAAAAATGTTTCGCTGGGACCAAATGTCTCATCAATTTTTTTTCTCTTTTTTAATTTTTTCTGACTTTTCATACAATTTAAAAGGTTGTTAGTGGTGCTACACGTTTCAATCAAACCGGTGCTGTCATTTTTCTTCCTTTTCGACGCAATTTTCATGCTGAAGAAGGTCCAAATCTTGGTTTATTAGAAGACCATTTTATTCTTTCTGGGCGTCAATTAGGTTCTGGTTTTGGAAGTAGTTTGGCTGTTTTGGATTTAAATAATGATGGGTATATATTTTTTGAATAAATTTTTTGGTTTTTATAAGTCCTCGCAAGAGATAGCGAGGGATCCGATGGACTAATTGTATGAGGGGTATCCGCCATTTGGAGAGATTAAGGGGTATATAGAGGGATGTGGGCTGATATTGAAGACATCAAAATCCTCCCCGGTATTTATTCAAGTCCCCTTAATTCTTAGATATCCCTCCAAATCCTCTTGTATCTCGTTAATCCCGGTAGCCCTTTAAATCCCTTGAACACTCCAAACTCTCTGATAAGTGAAAATCTCTGAGAATTAGGGGGATTAGTCTCGATGGATCTTGTCCCGTTCTTCGACCTTTTGAAAACATCCTGTTACGGGATCCCATAAATGCGATTTTTCCTCACTCTAAATATTAGAGGTTGGCAAAATCGCACTTACGGGATCCCAGTCGGGATTTTTTTCTTAACCGATGCCAGGACGGGATCCCGAGGGGTAAATCCCGAAAATCCCGAAGATAAAGAAATCCGGGCTTTCGAGATCGGGCTCCCGGATAAACCCGTCGGGATCCCGTCCAGCGCCAACCTCTACTAACACTAAATATAACATAAAAAAAATTTTTCTTTAATAGATTTGATGATTTACTTGTTGGTGCTCCTTTTGAATATTTTTATGATGAAGAAGAAAATGAAAAAGGAGGGGCTGTTTATATTTATTTTTCTAAAGGAATAAAATTAGGCAAAGGACAACAAACATCAAACAATTTTATTTTTTATCCCCCAATTATAATTAGAGGAACAACTAGACATTCACATTTTGGGGCGTCTTTAGCTTCTATTGGAAATTTAAATAATGACAAAAATGGATTTAAAGGTTTCTGATTTTTTTTTGAAGTGATATTTTGAAAAAAAATTCTGATTTTTCGGAAGAATTCCGATTTTAAATTCTGGTCGTTCATGAAATTCTGGTAAAATCAGAATATTCCAGAACCAGAACATTCCAGAACGGGCAACATTTCTGGTCATTATATCAGAATTCTGATTTTTAGGAAAAATTCTGATCCAAAATTCTGGTCGTTCTGCCAGTTCTGGTTTTAATTTCCAAAAAATCAGAATATTCCAGAACCAGAACATTCCAGAACGGTCAGAATTTTTGGTCAATATATCAGAATTCTGATTTTTAAAAAAAAGTTTTGATTTTAAATTCTGGCGTGCTGAAAATTCTGTTTTAATTTTCAGAAGAACCAGAACATTCCTGAACAGTCAGAATTTTTTTGTCAATATATCATAATTCTGATTTTTAAAATTTTTTCTGATTTTAAATTCTGGTTGTTCTGAAATTTTTTATTTAAATTTTCAGAACAACCAGAATATTCTGATTTTTCAGAATATTCAAAAATATTAAAGAAAAAAATATTTTTTAACACAGATTTTGTTGTTGGCGCCCCTTACCATTTTTCTGGTTCCGGCGCTGTTTTTGTCTTTCACGGCAATGAACGTGCACACTTTTCAACTAAACCTGCTCAACAAATTTATGCCTATAATTTACCAAATAAACCCAATTCTTTTAAATCTTTTGGGTTTTCTTTGGCAAAGGGTGTTGATTTGGATGGGGATGGATATGATGAATTGATAGGTTTTTTTTGTTAAATTTATTTTTAATAAAAAATTCGCAAAATTAGACAAGTCCGCAAAAATTTGTCCGCAAAATCGTCATGTTTTTGTATTTTGCTGATTTTTTCTGAAAATATTCTGGTCTAAAAATTCTGAAATTTTCTGATTTTAGTTCTTCTAGTTGCAAATTCAGATTAGCTTGAGCCTTGTCTTACAATTATTGATTAACTATACTCTTGAGATTAACACTAAAAATAGAAACTATAGCTTGTTGATCTCGTGAGTAAGGTTGGCGGTTCCGGGTATCCGGAACTGAAAAAACCTCGGATATCCGGAAATTTTTGGTTCAGATATTGATTCCGGATATCAGTAGATTTCCCAGGAACTGCCAAAACTTACTCGTGAGTTTTCATCCATTTTCGATTTGCTAGCCAGCTTTCTTTGCGAGTTATTGGAAAATAGAAAATTAAGGATTAGGGCAAATTGAGCGTAACGGAAATTTGGGCAGTAAAAATTCAAAAAAAAAATTTTTTTAAGTTGGAGCACCAGAAACGAATGTTGTTATAATTTTTCGTTCAAAACCAGTTTTGGAAGTTAAATTGGGTCATCAATTTGAACAAAAACATGTTAAAATAAGTACTTCTAGAAGTGATTGGGGGGAGTGTGCTTTGGGACCAAGCTGGTTTGTTTAAATTTTTTTTAAAATTTAATTAGTAAAATATAAGTAGGGAAATTTATAAAAAATTTTTTTGGAATTTTTAAAATATTTTTTGGTTAAAAAACCCTTCTCCCCCTTCCCTCTATTCTCCCCCTTCCTATTTTAAATAATGTTTGTTGTGGTGTAGTTGGAAAATTCTTGGTTAGTATGGGAAATCATCGAGGGTTCGAACCCCACTGTTGGGCAATTGTTTTATTTTAAAAAGCGCAAGGCTATTTAAATTAAAATTCGTTAAAAATTAACTAAAATTACCAAAAAAATTTTTTTCCAAATTTTAAGATAAATTTAATGAAAATTTGGACGTTTATTAATTTTTAAAATTTAATTTTCTTCCTATAATTTTTTCTAATTTTTCCCTCTTTCTTTCCACAGTTTTTCCTTGTCAACTTCAATATTTTTATCTGATCGAAATTTGACAGCTTTAAAACAATTAAATAAATTGTTTGGTATTGGACAATCCCCATTTTTGTGTAAACTTGAAGTTTTGCCCTTTGCTAGAGGTGTTCTCCCACGTGCTCTGTTTACTTCTAATGGGGAGAATAAAATTAGTTGGCCGTGTGGATCGAATGCTGTTACTAGGGAAGAAATTAGCCATCAAAAGTTATACATTCCGGTTAGTTCTGATTTAAAAAAAAATGTTATGATTTTTGGAAGTCTTCTGATCTGAGTTCTGATTTTTTAGAATCGTTCTGGTTCTAGTTTTAATTTTTCAGAACCGTTATGATTTTAATTCTGATTTTTCAGAAATGTTCTGATTCGAGTTCTGATTTTTCTGAAAAGTTCTGATTCGGTTCCTGATTTTTCAGAATTGTTCTGATGTAATTTTCTGATGTTTCTGAAAAGTTCTGACTCATGTCAATTTCTGATTTTTCTGATTTGAGTTCTGATTTTTCAGAATCGTTCTGATGTAATTTTCTGATTTATCAGAATCTTATTTAAAAAAAATATTTTTTTTTCAGAGCGGAAACGAAGACTGGACAAATCCTTTACGTTTCAACTTTTCAATTTCTCTACGCAAACCTCAATTAACAACAACAATTAATAATAACAACAATTTATTACCAGCTATTAGCCCGGACCAAACATTTCATATTTTTGGAATTGCTTTTGATAAATTGTGTGGAGATGATAATGAATGTCACACAAATTTGGTTTTGAGTGGGGCTTTGCTTGATTTATCGTTGGGTTTTTTTAAAAAATTTTTGCGGACAAATTTTTGCGGATTAATTTTACGGAAATTTTTTCGTCCGCAAAATTTGTCCGCAAAAATTTTTTGTCCGCAAGATTTTTTTGCAAAATTTTTTCGTCCGCAAAAATTTTTTCGTCCGCAAAAATTTTTTCGTACGCAAAATTTGTCCGCAAGATTTGTCCGCAAATTTTTTTAAAATTAATTTTTATAGTAAACGTTCTGATGGATTATACCAAGCAAAAGTAACAGAAAAAGATGTCTTAATTCTCAGATTGCTAGTTGAAAATCGTGCAGAACGTGCTTATTTGGCTAAATTATATTTGGAATATGATGAAACAGAATTGGATGAACCTAGTGTTGTTAAAAGGGGAGAATTTAATTTAAATGAGCATAAAGTCGATATTGAAAAGAGGGAATTGGGGAAAGCTGTTTTGGCTTTGGCTAATCCGTTGGAGGCTGGAGAAAAGGTTTTTTAAAAATTTTTGGGGGGGGGGGGGGTGTCCGCAAAGTTTGTCCGCAAATATAATATTTTTGGTGTGTAGGATTAGATTGAGCGGTTCTATCTTTGAATTTCCTTGAGCAAATAAAACCACTATACTTTCTATCTGGATAGTCGACTAACAAGAGTCTGTCCGCAAGAAATTTTTTTGCCTGCAAAAAATTTTTTTTGTCCGCTAAAAATTTTTTGTCTGCAAAATTTTTTTCGTCCGCAAAAATTCAAATTGAAAATAATTCCTATATATTGAGGGGGTACCTAAATTTTCTATAGGAGCGATTGATAACCTTTTTAATTTAATTTCTCAAAAAAATTTAATTTAAAGTTGGGCTTCGATTTACTCTTCAAACTTGTCCGAAGCAGTTCAGAACGTGTTTCAGCATCTTTACAATTTAAAGCTTTTGTAAATTCTTCTTCTGTAGAAGACTTCCCTAAAGATAATTTTTGGAAGGCAGAAGTTTTATTAATTAAAGAGGCCGATCTTCAATTAGATGGGGGCTCTCGTCCCCCAATAGTCCATTTTAGTAGAGGAAATTATGCGCCTAAGGATGAATTTGATATTGGACCGCAATTGATCCATGCTTATACTTTAACGAATAAAGGGCCTTTTTATGCAAGGAATGTTACTTTAAAGGTGATTTTTTGTGAAAATTTTTAATAATTTCGAAAAATATTTTTTGTGGTTAAGTTGGTAAGTTTTGGATTTTCACTAGAAAGGGGTTGAAGGTTCGAGTCCTTTTGTTGGAAAACAATTTTATTTTTGAGGAAAAAAATTCATTTTAATTTTAAAAAAATTAAAAAAATTTTTACAAAGTCAAAAAATTTTTGTGAAGGTCCTAAAATTTTTTTAAAAATATTTTTCTAAAATTTTAGAAAAATGTCCTATTGTAGTTAAGTTAGTAGGTTTTGGGATTTTAATTGGGGAAGGGTTAAAGGTTCGAGTCCTTTTGTTGGAAAACAATTTTATTTTTGACGGAAAAAGTTTTTCTGAATCAAAAAAAAAATTTTTAAGGTTAATAAATTTTTTAAAATTTTTCCAAGGCCAAAAAAAATTTTTTAAAAATTTTAGATTGACTGGCCTCTACGTCTAGACACCTCTTCACCCAATTCTGACTGGCTACTTTATATTTTAGAAGAGCCCTTAATTCGACATAATGGCCAATTTAGACGTTGTCCTATAATAAACACTCAGTTACCCTCCTCTAAATTAATTAATCCTTTAAATATTTACAATGATGCAACCCTAAAATTGGATTATTATTTGTCTAAATCCCCCTATCGACAACGAAAACCTCGAAATTTAATTTTAATTAATTCAACAAAAGAAGAGGAAAAGGAAAATTTAAAATTAATTAGACAAGGATCTATTCTTCAATTAAATAGCCCTTTATGGCCAAAATGGATTAATGAAGAATCTGGAGAAAGGGTTAAAGTTGTTGATATTGTAAGGGGATTTTTTATATTTTTTAAATGATATAAATTTGATCTAAAATTCTGATTTTCTGTCCCGATCCTAGAAATTCTGATTTTCTTATTCTGCTCTTAAAAATTCTGGGTTTAAATTCTGGTCTAAAAATTCTGATTTTTATTCTGATCTTAAAAATTCTGGTTTTTCAGATCAGAAGATTCTGATTTTTTTCTGATCTAAAAAATTCTGATTTTTTATTCTGATTATTAAAAAAATTATTTTCAGAACTGTAAGGACAACAGTGCCCGTTGTGTTCAATTAACTTGCCATTTTGACTATATTGGAAGTAATGATTCTGCTTTAATTGAAATTAGAGCTCGTTTATGGAATTGGACTTTTTCTGCTGAAGATTACCGCCAATTTGATTATATAGCTATAACCTCTGAAGGTTTTATTGAATTGGATCCGTCACAAGGAATTTTGGAAGAAAAAAGTAAATAATTCTGATTTTTTGTTCTGTTCTGAAATTCTGATTTGAATATCCTTATTTTTAATTCTGCTCTGAAATTCTGATGTAAAAATTCTGATTTTCTGATCCAAAAATTCTGATTTTAATTCTGATTTTTTGTTCTGTTCTGAAATTCTGATTTGAAAATTCTGATTTTTAATTTTGTTCTGAAATTCTGATGTGAAAATTCTGATTTTCTGATCCAAAAATTCTGATTTTAATTCTGATTTTTTGTTCTGTTCTGAAATTCTGATTTGAATATCCTTATTTTTAATTCTGCTCTGAAATTCTGATGTAAAAATTCTGATTTTCTGATCCAAAAATTCTGATTTTAATTCTGATTTTTTGTTCTGTTCTGAAATTCTGATTTGAAAATTCTGATTTTTAATTTTGTTCTGAAATTCTGATGTAAAAATTCTGATTTTCTGATCCAAAAATTCTGATTTTAATTCTGATTTTTTGTTCTGTTCTGAAATTCTGATTTGAAAATTCTGATTTTTAATTTTGTTCTGAAATTCTGATGTGAAAATTCTGATTTTCTGATCCAAAAATTCTGATTTTAATTCTGATTTTTTGTTCTGTTCTGAAATTCTGATTTGAATATCCTTATTTTTAATTCTGCTCTGAAATTCTGATGTAAAAATTCTGATTTTCTGATCCAAAAATTCTGATTTTAATTCTGATTTTTTGTTCTGTTCTGAAATTCTGATTTGAAAATTCTGATTTTTAATTTTGTTCTGAAATTCTGATGTAAAAATTCTGATTTTCTGATCCAAAAATTCTGATTTTAATTCTGATTTTTTGTTCTGTTCTGAAATTCTGATTTGAAAATTCTGATTTTTAATTTTGTTCTGAAATTCTGATGTAAAAATTCTGATTTTCTGATCCAAAAATTCTGATTTTAATTCTGATTTTTTGTTCTGTTCTGAAATTCTGATTTGAATATCCTTATTTTTAATTCTGCTCTGAAATTCTGATGTAAAAATTCTGATTTTCTGATCCAAAAATTCTGATTTTAATTCTGATTTTTTGTTCTGTTCTGAAATTCTGATTTGAAAATTCTGATTTTTAATTTTGTTCTGAAATTCTGATGTAAAAATTCTGATTTTCTGATCCAAAAATTCTGATTTTAATTCTGATTTTTTGTTCTGTTCTGAAATTCTGATTTGAAAATTCTGATTTTTAATTTTGTTCTGAAATTCTGATGTAAAAATTCTGATTTTCTGATCCAAAAATTCTGATTTTAATTCTGATTTTTTGTTCTGTTCTGAAATTCTGATTTGAAAATTCTGATTTTTAATTTTGTTCTGAAATTCTGATGTGAAAATTCTGATTTTCTGATCCAAAAATTCTGATTTTAATTCTGATTTTTTGTTCTGTTCTGAAATTCTGATTTGAATATCCTTATTTTTAATTCTGCTCTGAAATTCTGATGTAAAAATTCTGATTTTCTGATCCAAAAATTCTGATTTTAATTCTGATTTTTTGTTCTGTTCTGAAATTCTGATTTGAAAATTCTGATTTTTAATTTTGTTCTGAAATTCTGATGTAAAAATTCTGATTTTCTGATCCAAAAATTCTGATTTTAATTCTGATTTTTTGTTCTGTTCTGAAATTCTGATTTGAAAATTCTGATTTTTAATTTTGTTCTGAAATTCTGATGTGAAAATTCTGATTTTCTGATCCAAAAATTCTGATTTTAATTCTGATTTTTTGTTCTGTTCTGAAATTCTGATTTGAATATCCTTATTTTTAATTCTGCTCTGAAATTCTGATGTAAAAATTCTGATTTTCTGATCCAAAAATTCTGATTTTAATTCTGATTTTTTGTTCTGTTCTGAAATTCTGATTTGAAAATTCTGATTTTTAATTTTGTTCTGAAATTCTGATGTAAAAATTCTGATTTTCTGATCCAAAAATTCTGATTTTAATTCTGATTTTTTGTTCTGTTCTGAAATTCTGATTTGAAAATTCTGATTTTTAATTTTGTTCTGAAATTCTGATGTGAAAATTCTGATTTTCTGATCCAAAAATTCTGATTTTAATTCTGATTTTTTGTTCTGTTCTGAAATTCTGATTTGAATATCCTTATTTTTAATTCTGCTCTGAAATTCTGATGTAAAAATTCTGATTTTCTGATCCAAAAATTCTGATTTTAATTCTGATTTTTTGTTCTGTTCTGAAATTCTGATTTGAAAATTCTGATTTTTAATTTTGTTCTGAAATTCTGATGTAAAAATTCTGATTTTCTGATCCAAAAATTCTGATTTTAATTCTGATTTTTTGTTCTGTTCTGAAATTCTGATTTGAAAATTCTGATTTTTAATTTTGTTCTGAAATTCTGATGTAAAAATTCTGATTTTCTGATCCAAAAATTCTGATTTTAATTCTGATTTTTTGTTCTGTTCTGAAATTCTGATTTGAATATCCTTATTTTTAATTCTGCTCTGAAATTCTGATGTAAAAATTCTGATTTTCTGATCCAAAAATTCTGATTTTAATTCTGATTTTTTGTTCTGTTCTGAAATTCTGATTTGAAAATTCTGATTTTTAATTTTGTTCTGAAATTCTGATGTAAAAATTCTGATTTTCTGATCCAAAAATTCTGATTTTAATTCTGATTTTTTGTTCTGTTCTGAAATTCTGATTTGAAAATTCTGATTTTTAATTTTGTTCTGAAATTCTGATGTAAAAATTCTGATTTTCTGATCCAAAAATTCTGATTTTAATTCTGATTTTTTGTTCTGTTCTGAAATTCTGATTTGAAAATTCTGATTTTTAATTTTGTTCTGAAATTCTGATGTGAAAATTCTGATTTTCTGATCCAAAAATTCTGATTTTAATTCTGATTTTTTGTTCTGTTCTGAAATTCTGATTTGAATATCCTTATTTTTAATTCTGCTCTGAAATTCTGATGTAAAAATTCTGATTTTCTGATCCAAAAATTCTGATTTTAATTCTGATTTTTTGTTCTGTTCTGAAATTCTGATTTGAAAATTCTGATTTTTAATTTTGTTCTGAAATTCTGATGTAAAAATTCTGATTTTCTGATCCAAAAATTCTGATTTTAATTCTGATTTTTTGTTCTGTTCTGAAATTCTGATTTGAAAATTCTGATTTTTAATTTTGTTCTGAAATTCTGATGTGAAAATTCTGATTTTCTGATCCAAAAATTCTGATTTTAATTCTGATTTTTTGTTCTGTTCTGAAATTCTGATTTGAATATCCTTATTTTTAATTCTGCTCTGAAATTCTGATGTAAAAATTCTGATTTTCTGATCCAAAAATTCTGATTTTAATTCTGATTTTTTGTTCTGTTCTGAAATTCTGATTTGAAAATTCTGATTTTTAATTTTGTTCTGAAATTCTGATGTAAAAATTCTGATTTTCTGATCCAAAAATTCTGATTTTAATTCTGATTTTTTGTTCTGTTCTGAAATTCTGATTTGAAAATTCTGATTTTTAATTTTGTTCTGAAATTCTGATGTAAAAATTCTGATTTTCTGATCCAAAAATTCTGATTTTAATTCTGATTTTTTGTTCTGTTCTGAAATTCTGATTTGAATATCCTTATTTTTAATTCTGCTCTGAAATTCTGATGTAAAAATTCTGATTTTCTGATCCAAAAATTCTGATTTTAATTCTGATTTTTTGTTCTGTTCTGAAATTCTGATTTGAAAATTCTGATTTTTAATTTTGTTCTGAAATTCTGATGTAAAAATTCTGATTTTCTGATCCAAAAATTCTGATTTTAATTCTGATTTTTTGTTCTGTTCTGAAATTCTGATTTGAAAATTCTGATTTTTAATTTTGTTCTGAAATTCTGATGTAAAAATTCTGATTTTCTGATCCAAAAATTCTGATTTTAATTCTGATTTTTTGTTCTGTTCTGAAATTCTGATTTGAAAATTCTGATTTTTAATTTTGTTCTGAAATTCTGATGTGAAAATTCTGATTTTCTGATCCAAAAATTCTGATTTTAATTCTGATTTTTTGTTCTATTCTGAAATTCTGATTTGAATATCCTTATTTTTAATTCTGCTCTGAAATTCTGATGTAAAAATTCTGATTTTCTGATCCAAAAATTCTGATTTTAATTCTGATTTTTTGTTCTGTTCTGAAATTCTGATTTGAAAATTCTGATTTTTAATTTTGTTCTGAAATTCTGATGTAAAAATTCTGATTTTCTGATCCAAAAATTCTGATTTTAATTCTGATTTTTTGTTCTGTTCTGAAATTCTGATTTGAATATCCTTATTTTTAATTCTGCTCTGAAATTCTGATGTAAAAATTCTGATTTTCTGATCCAAAAATTCTGATTTTAATTCTGATTTTTTGTTCTGTTCTGAAATTCTGATTTGAAAATTCTGATTTTTAATTTTGTTCTGAAATTCTGATGTGAAAATTCTGATTTTCTGATCCAAAAATTCTGATTTTAATTCTGATTTTTTGTTCTGTTCTGAAATTCTGATTTGAAAATTCTGATTTTTAATTTTGTTCTGAAATTCTGATGTGAAAATTCTGATTTTCTGATCCAAAAATTCTGATTTTAATTCTGATTTTTTGTTCTGTTCTGAAATTCTGATTTGAAAATTCTGATTTTTAATTTTGTTCTGAAATTCTGATGTGAAAATTCTGATTTTCTGATCCAAAAATTCTGATTTTAATTCTGATTTTTTGTTCTGTTCTGAAATTCTGATGTGAAAATTCTGATTTTCTGATCCAAAAATTCTGATTTTAATTCTGATTTTTTGTTCTGTTCTGATTTCTTTTCTGATCGAAAATTCTGATTATATTCTGATCTGATTTTCGAGTTCTGATTTGAAAATTCTGATTTTTAATTCTGTCTGTTCTGTTATTTTAAAACTTCCCCATTTTTCCCAATTTTTTAAGGTAACAATTTTGCTAGAATTACAACTAGAGCATATCCAGACAGACCACAACAAGAGGATCATATAAAATTGTGGATATTATTATTGTCTATATTAATTGGTTTTGGATTACTTGGAATATTAATTTTGTGTTGTTGGCATTTTGGATTTTTTAATAGAAAAAGGCCACAATTAGAATTACATCAAGCACATTATGCTAGAGAAAGGGAAGAAATGGAAGAAAGTTTTGGGGGTTTGTAAAAATATGGAGAGAATTTTTGGGAGAAGGAAGGGAAGGATTTTAAAATTTTTAATGGAGGGATCTCACAGAAGAAGATTAAAAAGCAACGCAAAATAAATTAAAAAAATTTTTTTTTAAAGATTATTTAGGTTGTGAATTAAATAATTAAGTTTAACCTCATTATAAGTAAGATGGCCCCTTGAGACTTACAAATTTTCCGAATTTTTAAGGGGCATTTTGAATAGGAGATTTGCTTTTGTTGCTCTTCCCTCTGGGCCCACCTCACTCAGAAGATCATGTCCAAGCAGGGGTTGATTCCTTCTTAACTATTCTGTTAATGGACCCAGAGAATCCTAAAAAATGAATCCTAAATTACAATTTACTTAATGGTGTATCTTATAGTGAGATTTACATAAAAATGAGATTTTGATTATACTAACAATCAGGGACGGGCATAAGAGAAAACGCAACACACGGACAAAAATCAACGCAAAACTCGTACTCGTCCCTACCCTAATAATTTAATGTTCCTTACAAATTAATGTGCGCAAAAATTTTTATTTTTTAATTTTTTTCCAGTTTTCAAACCCCCATTTTTGTTAATGGCGTTTTACTTGAGAAACTTTTTATTTTTGCGCACACCCTACTTAAATTTCCTTTAATTTTTTCATTTTCTTTTCTGCTAGAAATTGTTTTTAAAAAGCCATCGTTGTGAATGTTTCTTGCTCATTTTATATTTAATTTTTTTTTTACAATTTTCCCTAATTTTTATATAGCTTCTTTCGCTTAAATTATTAATTTTAAATTCGCTTAAAATGCTTGTTATTTAAATATATAAATTAATTAATTTATTTATATTGTATTATTATTGGATTTTTAAAATTAAGTTTTTTGAAAAAAAAGATCCCAGGTATTTTGAAAATTATTGTGTAGGTATTCGGCGCAAATGTCGGCAGCACAAATGTCGCAAACGCACTTAAAAT